CCCACGACAGCTGGGGTCTGGCTTTGGTTTCCTTAAAGTAACTGTTGGTACAGCACGTTATTAGAGGTTTAGCCATCGTTTCCATCTTCCAGCTGGAGCTGCAGGGGTCTTTAGCTGCATCGTTTGGACTATTAAATACATATGGAAATATTCGGTATTCGGGACCTTGAGAGCCATCCAATCACATCACCCAGTGACTTAAGCAACAATAGAAAACACCAGAGGGTGTTGTGTTATTACAGCGCTGTAAACATCTCTAGGCATAGCATACAGCTGTACGACAGCAGGAAAACCCACCCTTAAGCTCCAGTAATCCTCACAGGCGGAAACCTCGAGGCAGTGACCGACGATACCGGAGAACGCCCCGAACCCAGCAGCCGCAACCGGAGCTCAGGTGCAGCCTCGGCCCGCAGCCAGCCCAGCGCCGGCAGCGCCATCGAATGTCGGGCAAAGCAGCACGGCCGGCCAGCAGCGAGCGTCCTGCCGGGCCCCGCGCTCCGCTCCTGCTGCTCGTCCGCCGGCTGTGAGCCCCGGGCTCGGCCCGGGAGGTGCTGCCGTCTCGCTGATGCCCCCCGCATCAACCTGGCTTGGGCAGCGCTGCAAGGCGAGACGTCCTTCCTCTCCTCTTGCCCTGGGAAGGGGTTATCGTGCAGGGGCTGAAAACCCCGCTGAAATAAAACCCTGCTGAAATAAAAGCACTTCTTTTTACTTTTTTAATTGCACTTCTGCGATACCGAGCTGGGAAAGAAGGGGCTCCCGGGCAGCAGAGCCGGCAGTCGCGGCGGTGCCCGCTAGGTGGCAGCAGAGCGCCGGGCGGGGCGCTGACGGCGGGCTCCGGGCGCGTGGCTTCCAATTGCTTTTCTTGTACCTTTTTTTTTTCCTTCTTCTTTTCCAGGGGCTTGCACTGGTACAGATTGTGTCTGAGATTGTTGGTGTGTCTCGGTTTGTGTCTCTCAACACCTGAGATACAGAACCTGCATTTCTCACGCAGGTGCTGACGGGGCTCGGCAGAGCTCGCACCGCTTCCAGAAAGGAGGACGGCGGCCGGACTCGCTCTGCTGCCCGGGCGAAGCCAGAAAAGTACTCACTTCAAGCGCTGCTCCCCAGGATGCAGCCACCGCCACACGAGGCACAGCTCGGCTCCGTGCAGCGCACAGACCGCTCACCAAACAGCAGCAAAATGCCGTGCACAGGCTCTGGTGTGTCGGGAGCCCCTCTGCAAGTGGCAGGGTGGGAGCCCTCTAAAACCCACAACACAGGTCAGCAAGAAAGCTTCTCATAGGGAATACTCACAAAAACAGTAAAAGAATTCCTCTCTGAAGATCCTCTGAAACCCTGCATTAGGAACAGGAGATTTTAACTCTCCCAACAAGGAAACTTTGATTTCCTCCCAACTCATCTGTGCACAGATAGGAGCCGAGGGCTCCCACTGCTTTACAGCCCAGCCCCACTGCTGGGGGTCAGACAGCCCGCACAGCACCGGGCGCACAGCTCACCTCCCAGCCCCGCTCTGCTGTGCGTGGGATTTTGCACAGCTCCACTTTTCCCCTCTGCTAAAGGACTGACTTCACCCCTCTTGTGACCGTGTGGGCGCTGGAGCTGCTGGGCTCTGGGTTTGTCCTTCTGCAGGCTACAGCTCCTTGCCTCCTTCCCTGCAGAGCCCCAGTGGGTGTAGGGCCAAACTGTTCTGCTGGAGCCCCAGCGATGTCCGGGTGCTGCCCTGCAGCTCCTGGGTGGCACCACCACCTCCTGCTTTGCAAGGAGCCCAAATCACTGCAGGCGCGATGGAGCAGAGCCTGCTGCGCTTCGGGCTGCAAACGCTGCCTTCAACTTCACGTCTGCAGCTGCCATGCAGTGCCCACAGGTAAACCACTGCCAGAAATTTGATGGGTCCAAATGCCACAGAATATCATCATCATCATCATCAACATCAACAACAACAACTACAACAAAAGGAAGTGCACGTTTATTTTCTTTTCAAAAACTTTTAATAGGACACATTTGTTTTTGTCATTTGTAAAGATTTACACTCATTTTTTGTCTTTTTTCTTTTTGTAAAAAGGAACTTTTGAACCCGGTTTTGCCCATGAACACCACCTTTTGTTGCCCTGACCAACAGACCTCGTTGTGGCCTATATACCTGATACAGTATAACAATATATTAACTAGTAAATACAAAGTTCTATCATATACACTAGGTTGTTACGGACGTTGCAACGGTACCGTGCCTACTCTAGTCACCTGGTGTGATAGTGTACGTGGGTTATTAGAGCCAGAGGGGCAGAAAAGGGGAGACTGGGGCTTAGCCTAATTTACAACCGTAACACTTCTTCCTTGAACACACCTTGTGCTGAGTGCAATCCACAGAAGTCAAAAACAGCGTTTTCTTCACCCTCCTCCAAAACACCTGCAGTACCAACGGCCTGGAGCCGAGCTAGAAAAGTCCTATGTGCAAGGGGCTGCAAAACTGGAATCGACATTTCTCCGCACACATCCGCAGTCTCTGCTTCCTCCCATGTCAGCCTGGCAGTGACAGAACGCCGTCCTCCCGTCTGCCTACAGTAAATCCACAGTATAAAGTGCTGGTGTGCTTGAATGAGCTGACAGCAACGCGACTGCTGTGCCACCGACACGGGCTGAGCTCTGGGGGTGGATGGTTTATATAGGAACAGTAATAGCACTGCGATACCGCAAACCTCAGCTTAGTTGGTACAGATAACCACGGCCTGCACGCAGCTCTGCGCTGTGGTACAGCAGGTCTGGCTCCAGGGTTACGGAAAGGAAGGCAGAGATTGAGCTGCTCCTGTTCCCGAGATGCTACGCAGGCTTTTAACAATTTCTCTATAGATTTCTACAAAAATATAAAAAAATCTATCAACAGAACCGTCCTACAGAATTCCTGTGGATTTTGTACATTTTGTTTAAAAAAAGTCAAATTCTATAAAACCCCCCCACAGGTATTTAAAATTCTCTGAAGATTATTGCACACACTGCAGTACATCTGAGTCTGTTTTTCAAAAGGGCGCCTAGAAAAAACGTGTCTGGTCTAGAAAACAAACTATTTTACACAGATCTCTTTTCCTGAATGCATCACCGTGCGGTATTTGTAGTGGCTGGTCTTTGCTGAATATTCACGTTGACATAAACTTTTTGCTGCTCACACAAACTGAGTCAGGGGGCGAAAGCCCCAAGCTGGAAAAGAGAGCGGCCTTCGGGTGCTGCTGTGTTTGGGGCCGAATGTTTGGATCAGTGTCACATCAGCGCTCTGTGCCGCGGTGCAATGGCACAGCGATGGTTAAGGAATGGGGTCAGCAATGCCGTATTTTCCCAAATTATTCAGTAAATGTGAAAGGAAAAGCCTCTGCTCATTAGGAGCGTAAGACCAAAAAGGGATTAAGAATATTTCCCAGGCTTAGCGCACTGTAATTTTATTGTTTCCTTAAGTGTGAGCTGGGGAAGAACTGATGAAAGGTTTGTTTGAAGTCACTGCTCCAAACGGGCTCTGCTCTGGGTCGGGCCGGGCGCACCGATGGGGTTTGTCTGTGGGGCTCACAGCAGACAGGGGGAACCGAGCCGGCTGAGAGCAGCCCTGCCTGCAGCACAGCGTGCTGAGCACATCCCGGCCCTGCGCTTCCCATGGGGCGCACACGGTGTTTGTGGAGGGAAGTTCCTCAGTGGAAGTAAAGGAGATCAAACCCAGCACAGGCTTGTGCTGGTTTAAGGACAGGAGCTAGCCAAGTCTCCATGCATGCCATCTGAAGGCTGCGACTATTTGCATACTTATAGCCGTGCCTTCAAGGCCCTGTTTAGCCCACACCTTAACCCCATTTGGGGAGTCCTCTCAGCTCCACATCTGCCTCCCGTCAGCCCTGCGAGGAGGGGTGAGGCACACAGGCAGCCGCGTGGCTTCAGGCTCTGTCTGCTCCATGGACGGCTCTGCCTGGAGCACAGAACGGGCTGCTGGCCTTGGAGGTGGCTGACACTAAGGAGGGCTATGAAGGACACATGAAGGACTATGAAGGCTTCCATTTCTGCACACTTTGCATCACGAAGTTGCTGCTTAAGGACTTTGCTGGGTTGGAAATAAAACTTCCATCAGGTTCTTCATGTGAATTAACTCCAGCAGTGACAGGAAAAACTTCTACTGAAAACCAACAAACATTTCGGTACCTACAAGACCTCCTCACACGTACCCTGTAAGACAACTTGCCAGCTGCAGTGGGCCTCCGTTCTGTTCAACACATAACCCCAACAGCAATTTTAAAGAATGACTTAATGACCACCGACCTCAGCACGGCTCTCAGCGGGGCAGTGGGGCAGTGGGGCAGTGGGGCAGTGGGGCAGTGGAGCAGCTCCCCATGGGCTCTGCAGCGCCGGGCTGCACTGCAGAAGCAGCCCGAGGTACCGTGCTCCTGAGCAGGCCCTGCAGGCAGCTGTGCCTGGCACTCTGAGGCACACAGCAAAACGAGCACTGATGATCACTGATGTGATTCCGTGAATCACCGGCAGATGATCCAAAACTCCAAAACACCCCATCCTAAGTCAGCGCTGCGTGCAGCTCGGCTGGCTCTGCACTCCCAGCCCTCAGCCACGCATCAGCGCGCTGCACGTTCCTGTTCTGTGCACTTGCTTTTCCTCTGGATGCCGATTTTATGCAAGACTGGGAATTTATTCTGTCAGAAAAGAACGCTACCGCATTTTTGTAGTCTCCAGAAAATGACTCAAGTCCACGGGGAAAAATAAATTACATTAAATAATTCTTATTTACTGCTGACTGTGGGATACGTTTCCTCTGTAATGCACTAATTGGCTACATTTTGTGCTTTGCAAAACAAAATGAAACCCAAACGAAACAAAAGAAAAAAAGAGAAGGGATTAAATATATATTTCTAAGGTTAAAATGTTCATAAAAACCAACTTGATCTCAGAAATATTCTGAGATACATAAAATAGAGGAAAATCAAACGAGTCTTTAGTCACAAAATGTACTACATCCCGCAATACTAGATTCAATTAATTTAATAAAATATAATATACATATAGATTCTGCACATTGTATTGCTTTTACCTAAGCAGAACGTATGCTTAAGTAAGCGTGATATAGGTTAACCCCTCCTTTAACCAGCTGGTTCTTTAATCCTTCTTTGGAAATATTTTATCCAGTGCCATTTTGGAATACAGTTCTTTTTTTTTTTTTCCTTTTTTCTTTTTTGTTTTTCTCTTACATGAAAGGAAGAAAACATTTGGCACCAACAGAAAAGTAACTCAGGGCTCCATCTCATTCTGATCAAAGGAAAAGCTAGGAAGTGTCAACAAGTCTTTCTTTGGGGTAGGAGATGCTGACATGCTGTCTGGAAGCAACGAATCCCCTATATCCATCGAGTCCTTGGAATCACAGGACGGAGCACGCCGCCTCAAGCAGGTATCTCCTCTGGCAGGTGAGATGCTGTGAGGTCCTCTGGGTAGCAAGCCCTGTTCGCTGGGTGGGTCTATAGATATACACGGAGGACTCAGTTTTTTCTTCTGCCGTGCTCCTTGCAAGCCTTCCATTTCACTTACCACCTGACTTATGAAGCCAGAGGAGCTAGATGTGGAATGGTGCTGAGGGCTGTTTTCCATGGAGCAGATTTCTATTGAATGTCTCCTTTGATCATCCAACCAAGAGGGCGGTTTTTTTAGAAGACCTTGGGTGTCAACACTGTGGTATTTCTTCAGGTCCTTCAGCATAACACTGCCGCTACTGCCGATGCTCCTCTTAGGAGTGAGAGGCTGTGCCTCTGAACAGGCACTCGAGGCTGTGCAAGTTTCGGAAGGGAAGGGCTCCGAGGAGCTGTTTGTTTCAGACACTTCTTGGTCCACTGAGTCTCCAGGCGTCTCCTGATAAGAGTCCGCACAAGCACACGATGCTGGTGCCTGCTTTGAAACATTATATTGATTGTGGGAATGCTGCTGTGTGTGAACGCTTGCCCGGCTCCACGCAGCCAAATCTTCTCCTTCTGAGGGGGTCGGAGCAGCTGGTGGCTCCTCCTGGGGTGCGCTGGGGATATCTGGGTCGGGGCGCTCGCTCAGCTCGGCGGGGAGGTTCTCCTTGCTGTCCGAAGAGTCGTTCCTTATGGCCATCTGCACAGAGCGCAGGGGAGTCGGGAGGAGGGGAGTTGCCAGATGGGAGAGACAGACCAAACAGAGGTTAGTACAGGTGAGGCACAACATTCACGGGGCATGCAGCTCTGCTGGGGGTACCCCAAAATGGACCCACTGGTTCCTACAGCTCATCCTGGGGGCACAGGTTCTAGTGCTTTCCACTGTGATCTGCGGGCTTATCCCTGTGTGAGTGACAGCAGATTTTGGCCCATTATTCTTCATAAGTGGTTGACCTTCATCTTTCTCCTGGAAGGATGGAAGACTGCAACAGAATGCCCCCACCCAAACTTAGCAGCATCCTGGTTATCCAAAGGATAAGGGTCTATGGCAAACTCCTTTGAAATCTTAGGGGCGCAAGCAGGAGTGGGAGAGAGAAGACGTGCAAGGGAACCTGTGCATTCCTTTCTCCAGCTCAGGCGATGCTGAGGGCATGGAGCAGGATGCCCAGAGCCACCAACACCACAGCAGCTACGTCTGTGCCCACCCCAGGGTGACAGCACATGTCCACCTTTGGGACAGCTTTGTCCCGTGCAGGCACCACAACTCTGCACCATCTTAGACAGGGGAGCTTGAAGAGAGCTGCAGAAGCTGGACTAGAGCTTCTGTAGTTACTTCTACCTATTCTGACAGCCCAGGCTTCCTAAGGCACATTTTAACTTGGTCATTTTGAGCCATACGCAGCATAGGTGCTTACTGGCCAAAAGTGCCTATGGCGTGGTTTGAAGGCTTTGCTGTTCCTCTGCACTGCATCCCTTGCCAAAAAGGATTATAAATCAGCCCCATTAACTGGCCCTTAAAGGCAGTGTCTCGGTTTGAGATGATTCTTAAATTATCTTAAAGATTAAAATCTTCATCAAGAAATTTGGAGGAAATGCCTCCAGCTGGTCTCAGTCCTTTAGAGGAGTTCAAGGAGATGAAATTCCTCATTTTAGGGAATGCCTTCGTGACAAACTGCCCCCAAAATGATCTCAGGATCTTTATAAAAGCTGTCCCACAAGGACTGCTTCAGCCAAATGATCTCTATTCAGGCAAAGCTCTCATCAGCTGCAGCACACATACGTGCACACAGCAGCACTGCTGTCACACCTGCGCAGTGCCTTCCTTTGTTGTCTGTGAGAGGTGAGAGAACATTCAATACGCCAAATGACTTTGTCCAATGCCAGCTAACAATCCCTTCTAGCTACAATTTCACAGCATCACGCTGTAACCAACCACACCTGAGAGCAGAGCTCATTCTGCACTCCTCGATGCCACCAGAGTTAAGGAGTGTTTGGGGGCAGGGATCACATTCACATCCTGAGAAGGGACACAGAGCACCAAAAAGAAGAGCATGGCTGCAAAAAGTAATTCTTGTCATTACTTTTGCTTGTACACCAACCTGTGTTGCACACAAAGGGCAGTATTGGATCTTTCTGTCCCTACAGGCCTCTGTGGCAGCTGTTAGCAGTAACTGTTGGTGAAGATGTCTTATTGGTTTGTTTCCCAACAAAAGGACCCTATGCCATCCCAACGGTGTGTCCACCCCTAGTGAGGGTTACACCACAGGCATGCAGTCCTGGAGCCAGAAAATCAATGTAGTTGTAGGTTCAGGTAGAATTCCCCTGGAGAACAGCATCTGTGCAATGCCAAGGAGCACACACTCCTTGTGGGAGCTTGGCTCTGCGTTCACCCAAAGCATCTCATCTGCTCAGCTTCATCTGTGCGTGCATCGCTAATTGCCAAACATTCCAGAGTCTAAACGGAGTCACTGTGGGGACTGTCCACCCTACAGCATGCTGGAGGGGAAGGGAGGTGAAACACACTTGTCAGTGGTGGAGGAGAGTGCATGGACCGGGGATGTGGTGGACAAGATTTATCTAAGCACAAATTTAGGATAGGAGAGGGGACAACAGGGAAGGGAGAGGAGAGAAAAAGAAAAAAGAAATGAAAATCAGAATTACATGCAATGTAAGTAACGATAAGGAAAAACGGGTACTGCAGATCAAAATGCATTGCTGGCTTGAGCTGAGGGACGTGCCACAGCACATCGGTGCGGGCAACAACAGGAGCCAAGCGGGAGCATCTCAGCAAGCACAACTGCTGTGAACAGCAAAGAGAGTTTGCTTCTTCAGAGACAAAGCTTCACGATGCATGGCCACCTAGATCACAACTAACTCCAACAGAAATCAAGTCTGTTGCCAGAACCCACTTTACTTCTGTTAATAGTGCTACAAGAGAGCAAGCACAAGGCAACAGCTTACGGGTGTTCAGGGGATGTGGATGGCCCAAGACCATGCCTGCTCGCCACCCAAAGTTCACTATCCAAAGCTCACCAGCCCAAAGCCTTTTTCTTCCTGAAAGGTCACTCCAAGAGCATGCTGACACCACTGCATGAGCAGGAAGAGGAGGGGTGGTATAAATTAATTTAAATGTATGAAAGGGTTTAGAAGGAGAAGCCTTCAGAAAAGTGAACAAAATTAGGCCAAGAGAGATGGCTAACATGGTAATTTATTCTAGAGAGATCAATTGAAAAAGATGGGTCTGTTATTCATTAGAAAGCAAGAGAGAGTGGTTATGAACTGGAATCATGACATCAATTAGTTTCCCTATTAGCAGTGACTGGGGGAGCTGGCCAGCCCTCCGCAAACGAATACATGCTAGGAATTTCTTATGTCAATTTAGCATTACAGACTAATGTAATTGTTAACCTTGGTACTCTGCATTCATTTCTAGAGCTTAATGAATCAACTGTCTAATTTGTCAATGTTGATTAAAAGATGAAAGAAGTGGGAACATTTTCATGCAGTAAAGAAGTTATTTTTGAAAAAATCAAACCGATGTATTCTGTGCATATAAAATAGATGCAAAACTCTTGAAGAAAGCAGACCGTGGGGATCACATGCACCAACAGCACAATGAAATGCGTTTTAAAACGTGAGAGTGAAGCACAAGTTTAAGTACTGCACTAAAAAGGACGAATTTGAAGTCATGTTTCCAATCAGGCAGACTGGAATCCGTGATTACATCTCTCAGATCTTTGGTTGAATCAGAACTTAAATCAACGCCAGGCAAAATAACCGAGATAAAACCAGTTACAAAATAGAACAAGTTCTGTTTTGCATATATTCAACCTTTTCAAAAGCACGCAGGAGATTTGAAAGGATCCTAATTTCCAATTCTTGCTGTAAATACAATGTGCTTTCCATGGTGGCTTTGCACGCAGCGAGGTGCCCTGTAAGCAGTTTCCCCCTTTCAAGAATTGAGAGGAATGAGAGGAAGGGCGGCCTGGGATGGAGCCTGCAGTCACCGTGTCCTTCCAAGCACTGAGAACATCACAGCAGTTAAGAATTAGTTCCTTAACCCCAACAAGGCCCTGGGGAGCGTTTGGCTGTGGTTATGAAGAGACCCAAAGAAATGAAGTGCAAACATTGCGGGGAACCTTCAGGCACGTCGCCAGAGGAGATGCTACACAGTGCTCACATCCTTTGGGGGCTCCTGGATGGCTTTCTCATCAAAACCCATCAACCTTTTCATTATTTCTGCAGGAGAATTACAGTTCTCCAGAGGTTTCTCTGTGAACCCTTCTTGAATTTAAAGTGTGGGTAACCTGGAAACACAGCAATACAAAACCTGAGCAAGTTGGTGGCCGTGGTTCTGCTTACCTGCCTGCGGAGCAGCCTCTCTGCAGAAGGGGAGTGCATGGGGGCGGCCACTGGGGGTTTTCCCTCCCTGACCAACGGATCGTGAGCTCTCGTGTGGTGGAAACGGTCTTTTGGAATTTGCAAGAGAGAGCTGGTGTCTGCTGGCTGCGACTGCACCGATGCCTTTGAACCTTGCAGGAGGAAGAAAAGAGAGGAATGTGACGTGTCCCCCTGTGACTGCTGCCCTGTCGCAGGGTCCTGTCAGAGGAAACCCCTTTGCACCTCGGAGCAGACAGGAACAGCAGGAGCACTGAATTCAACAAGCAGCTCTCCATGGTTGGAAAAAACTCCCACCTACTAATAAATTATTCCAAAATAGTCTATTATTTCATTTTTCTTGGCGTTTTCCCCCAGTCCAGCTGGGACCAGCTCCCGTAAAAAACAGAAGATGATGAACTAGAAGTTCATCTGGAATGGCAACGTCCACATCCCTGCTAGGGCCTACAACTCTGCAGGCACCCACACATCTCAGCCCTGCAGGGATGTGCCCCTGAGAGGTTCTGGAAAGGATGTCCCCAAACCCGAGCACACACAGAGGTCGCCTCCCAACACCACACAGACGTGGGACTCACATGGCAGCAAAGTGACCTGGCAGCAATCAAGGCTGGCTTTGCAGCTCAGCCCTGGAGAAGGACACGGGTACTCTGCAGCCTCTTTCTGACCCTCGGTGGTTGCTGGCTGCTTCTTCTGAAAGGTCTGAAGCTCTGCGAGCTCCCCCCCACAGCCTCAACATTTTTCAAAACAATTCATTTAACCTGGACCGAATCCCAGAGAATCTCATTTGTCCTGGAATCTTTCCCAGAACAACAGCCCCATTACGAAGGAGTATTCAAACAAATACCTCCTGTGAGCGCCAGTGTTTCTGACAACAAAACCTTTCTCAGCTTGAAATATTGTGGCTCAGTTGCGGTGATTTATTAGAGGCGACTGGCACCTTTTGCTGTCTTCACAGCACTTTACAATATTACAGACCGTGAGCAGGTGGGGTGACCTGCCCCGTCCCAGCAGAGGTGACATTGCAGGGGGAACAGGACGAGACGCACATGCCAAGATTTGGACACCGCACCTCACTGAGCACTTTGGCCCCATCCAGGCAACTGGAATTTCACCAGCAGGAGAAAAATACAGAAGCTTTGACTGCTTGGCAGAGTTGTGAACAAGATAGATGTCAACTTTACCTTTCCAAAACACTTCTCCTACGTGTTGGTGGTGCTGCTTTTTTGGATGGGTGCAATGCTATCCCAGCAAGCCGGGGCTGCCCGGGGAGCCTGGTGGGACTGAGAAGTGCTGCCTTGAAAAGGGACCCAGAAATTACCCACTTTTTGTTCTTGACACAGTTCTTGCTCTAGACAGGATGAACGTGCCCAAATTAAGGGTCAGTAGTGCAGCACTGGGAACTCTTCCTGCAGCTAATAGGGTTTTCTGTATGGCCAGACACTGTAATTTCTTGGCTGTCACAGAGAGAGATACATGCCAGCTCCACCAAAGGTATAGGAGCTCCGCTCTTGCTTTCAGTGGGATTTGACCAGGATTTCAGCCTCAACTTTTGCATTATGTACAAACAGATTCCTCAGAGGACAACCCCTGACCTTGAGAACTGCGTGTTGTGGCAGTGATTCCTCACAACTCCAGATTCAGCCTCCTCCATCGCGTCCACATTTTCTTTCTGCTTTCTTTCTGTTCAACAGCCGCTATTCATCCGAGTTCTTATTACTATGTAAATTTCAACATCTTATTTCTAATCTGCTCGAATCTCCCAGCATTCCGAACAGGGCCGAAATGATGTCCTGCTTTCAGGCTTTCCAGTGACACTACCTGTAAAAACTCCTCTGTCTTATCTGTGACGAGCGCGTGGAACGACGGCCTGCCAGGGCAAAGCTGAGTGCAGGAGCAGCCGTGCTGCACCAGGGCAGCCCCACGGCTGGAGGTCGGCGATGAGAGGCAGCTGCAGGCGCACACAGAGCCCTGGGTGCCTGCATGATGCTGCACCTAAGAACCTCAGCCTGTCTGCGAGGCCTGCATCCCAGCCCCGCACCCCAACAAGGACGATCCCACACACCCCCACCCACCACCGATCTCACGCCGATCTCTCTCTGTTCAGCATGTTTAAATTTGTCTTACAGGCACTGAGGGACACCATTTTCCCTTCTTGCACAGACGCTCCTGTACAGAGCTTTCGGAGCCTGCTGCAAGAGGCACTGCTGCAGACGAGCACAGGACGTAGCGCTCTGCAGGGCTCCTGCCCACAGCAGGCAGACGGCGGCCGAGCAGCTCAGCCATCCTACAGCTCCCTGAGCTCTGCAGGGCCGCCCCACAGCTCTGGACGCGCAGACACGGAAACGGAGCCCGGTTCGGTGCCTCCAAGCTCGCAAAGCCCCATCCCGCCGCGGTGGAAAGCCCCACATGGCTCCAGGAGGCACAGCCGTACCTGAGTGCGCCTTGTGCTGCGCCGGGCTCCCATGGCGCGGGGAGGCGGTGCTGGGCCGGCAGCGCGGCTGGGCCGTGTGGAACATGTAGCTGTCGTTGGGCAAGGAGTGCGTGCGGCCCACCGACGGCTTCCTGACGCTCAGCAGGTCCTGGCAGGGGGACAGCGCCAGCGCGGCGTCCCTGCAGCGCAGCTCGGCCTACGGGAGACAGGCAGTGAGGCAGCAGGAAGGCCGCGCCGTCAGAGCGGCGCCCGGAGACGCGAGCGACAGCCATTGCAACCATGTGGCACGATGGGCATGCACATGGCCGGGATGGGCGGGTGGCACAAATGGAGCTACTGGAGGCTACACCCCTCCTTCGTGCCGTCGGTAAACCGTCACACGGAATGGACCACAGAAACAGAGGAAGCGACACTGCAGGAGTAAACCATGACTATTTCGGGGTGTGAAGAAGGCATCATGCCTCAAGGCCAGCAGCAGTCACATGCTTTGGTAACTCTGATCTTCTGCAGTAACAGTAAGGCTGCCTCTGTGTGCCCTCATCAGCACGTCAGGCTTTTACAAAGGTGAGCAGTTTCCTCTCCTAGCAAAAAAAATCAACAAGGCAAAACCTCAGCAGAAGCAGTTTGCAGAGAACGTCCTCTGTTCTGGCTGCCAGCACCATCTTATCAGCTGTCTTCTCACACACTGAATAACTAAACCCATTTTATTGAAGGGGAAATGTAAACCCACTGCTTCGGGGTTAAAGCCATCCTCAAATTAGAAGGGATCTAATAGAAGCAGAGGTTATTGCCTATGTGTTGACTGCGGAGTTTTTACAGCCAAAGAGTCTCTTGGAGCAGACAGCACCAGATGCAATATCGAATGGGCTACAATTTGGGTGTGATTTCATAGGGAAATACATCTCCATCCATTCTCATGTGTGACAGTAAGGAAAAATGGAAGCTAAGCCAGCTGCTCTGTGCAGCCCTAACAGAACAATTATCTCATCCTTAAAAGGTTTCCTTTGAAAACCACAGAAATCAGATGTGACACTGCAGTTAATAAAGTACATTGCCGAGCACTTCTGGAAAAACTCAGACCTGATTTTCTGACAAATCTTTCACTCAGTGCATTAGAAGTTTATCCTAAAACAACATTCTAAGGTCATTTTTTCCCATTTTCTTCCTCTAGTCGTAAAAATGAAATTTCACTGCACCGTTTCATTTGCACAAGAACATAGAACGAGATTAAATGGATTTTACAAAAAAAAAAAAAAAAAAAAGAGGAAAGAAAAGAAGAAAAGAAAAATAAATAAACAAAGAGCACTCGAAAAGTTGTTGATGGACAGAGATCTGCATCACTGTGCAGCTTCACGTTCAGCCCTGGGGAAGCTGTGCAGTGCATCCCATGGGGACCCAACCTGGCAGAGTACAGCCCTGTGCTGCTGCAGCTGATGGCTGCGAGCCTCTCTGCTCCTCCCCCTGCCCTCCCCATAAGAGCAGTATTTATCTTTCGTATCACTTTGCTTAAAGCAAGAAAGATGGCCTGCAAGCTGAGGCGTCCAATTCAAGACTGTTTGGGTTTGAACTGGAGAATTTGGATTCAAGCTCCTGTCCAAAGACAACCTGTATGGGGCCGTGGGCAGAATCCCAGGGCATAGAGGGACTGCCTGCCTCCTCTGCTCCTCCCGGGGCCAACCTCACAGCTCAGCTGCACCACAACCACTGGGAATGGCTGAAAAACGACCCTCTGAGCGCAGCTCCGGGCAGCGCGTGACTCTGTTCCCTGGCACTTTTGACAGATGTGTTGTTTTGGTTTGGCTGGAAGGCAAATCTGGAGCTTTTGTGAACCAAAAAGAAAAAAAAAATCCCAAACCAAACCTATTTGGAGTCAAACAAAACATTCTGTCCAGGGTGTTTTTCAGCTAAAGCTGAAGGGAAGTGTAAAAAACACCGAAAAAACAAAAGCATTTTGACAGAAGTTTGCAGGACTTTGGATAGATGCTTTGAGCAGGACGCTGTGCTGGCACTGGCAGAAGCTCAGTCTGCCCTTCCCTCCCCTTCTGTTGAGGACAGGCACCTCTAGGCTGCGTCCCTGAGTCCTTCCTGCTACCAGCTGTTTGGCTGAGCCTCACCAAATGGGCTTCTCCTCTCTCAGCTTCTCCAAACAAAGTGCCTCACACAAATGCAATTTACAAAGTCTTTTGCACGTGATGCCATGAAGCATGATGGGAAATATCGTCACGGTTTTCGAGGTGTTTCCCAAAGAAGTACTAATTAGGATGACAACTAGCTAGAATGGCAGAGAAATTATCAACGACACAAACATCCAACGGCAGCTACATGAACAACAACAAGGAAAACAAGAATGGCCCAAAAATGTCGGAAGAGGAGTTGTTGTACAGCAGAAAAAAAGCACTGGACTGCTACACAGCTAAAAATGTCTCATGTTTCAAAGAGGAGATGGTTAAGGCAGGGTTCAAAATACTGGTTATTTCATTCAGAAAGGCACAGAGCGATCCCAGCTTCCTCTTTTTCTCAGTGAGATGAATGCTATCACCAAAGCAGCAGCATCTCAGAGATCCCCATCTGGTGTCTGTGAAACAAACTGGCTGCAATCAGGCATTGAGCCCTGGTGCTGGTGTTGGCTGAGATGAGGACCTCTGGCACAGCCATGGGCTGGAGCCCATCCCTCTGCAGAGGACACGGGCATCATCAGCTCGTGGTGTCTCCTCCACACAGCATCACTGATTGGTTTCAGATGGAGAGGAAATTTCAACCTTGACGCTTTCCAATGCATTTTTTGGACTATTTGTTTTACTTGCAGAAAACACATTGTTTTACATATGACACCAAGGGAAAAAAAAATAAAGAAAAATGCTTGTTCCTCACAAGGAGACAACTTTGTGGCCAAAGATGGTAACAGCCCACATCCTAATGGCATTAAGGACAGTGTCCTGCCGGGGGAAGGCTGGTGCTACTGGGACACGTGCTGGGACTACGAATGCCATTAGGCAGGTATAGGAGAACGCAGTATTTCAAACCCTGCAAACATCAGAACGTACAGCGACCAGTGTATGTACATTGCTTTCCAGAGCACTAAGTAAGTGTGTGTTAGTGTCATCAGGAAAAGAGTCATCCGTCAGAGCTAAGGACCAGGACTTTTCAGAGAGAATATCTGACGTCAGAGACAGAGCCTCCATCTCAGCTAGAGGGATCTGAAGGGAGAGATGATTAAGCATAAGAAACCAGGACACAAATCTTCAGAGAAAAAAGTATCATAATCTAAACACTTCTAGACACTAAAGCAATATCCCTGCGGTGGGAGCAGCTACATCATACACATTGTTACCAGGGACAGAACATTAAAGAAACGGAATATAACAAAGAAATGACAAGAAAAGTAGAACATTTATACTTAAATGCTTACCAAGGAGTTGTGAGGGAGTTTAAAGGCATACACTAATGCTAGCATTGCGTGGTGGTGCCCTCTTGCCTAAGCGAAGTGGCAAAAGCAACATTACCTTCCTATGGGTGCTATCCGTCCTCCCCACAAAGGTTGGGCACAAGAGGTTGTGCCACCCCCTGCCCTCCATGCAGTGTCCTGTGGGAGGTGCAGGGGGTGCCCTCACTGTGCTTTGGGGAGAGAACATCCCTGTGCCTCCTGCCATGGGATGTCATGGGTCGCCTGCAGCTCGGACACCCGCACACTGTCATGGGCATCCCAGCTAATTCCTTTTTTTCCCAGCTATCCCTGAGCATTGTTTTCCCCTATCCTCTATACTGGAAAAGTCTTTCAACAGCACCGTGCTTTCCAGCAAAAAGCACAGAGGCCCAGATTGGCTGCTCTTGAGTTATCCAAGGGCTGGATTTCCTCGCTCCCAGAAATTGACATCGGTGGGCTAAAATAAAGCTGGTGATAAGGGAACTGTGAGTGGCTGCAATAAGCCTCTCCCCAGAGCTCCGTGGGATGCCCATGGGCAACTCATGAGAGATGCACTGCAGTCCCTCCTGACTTCCCATGGGGAGCCCAAAGAGGCAGCACTGGGACAGCAGCAGCAGCAGCGGGATGGTGATCCCAGATGGAGATGGCAGTGAGCACTGGGGTTGGCAGGAGGGAGCTGTGCACACATTGCTTTCAGTGCCGCTCCATGTTCCTGACTGCCCCAAGAACATGACAGATGTTGTGAGCAGAAAAGCCAAAAGGTAAACAAAACAGCCTCCCCTCTCCCAAAATTGGGTTTGAGGCAGTCAAAACATTTGCTTGGAAATATCCAAATGATTTATAGGTTTGTTAATTGCAGCAAGAAAAAAAAAAAAAAACAAATCTAGCTTAAAATTTCAAAGGAAAAGTCACTGCAAAGCAGAGCGCTATATTTTTTCATTACATAAAAACGTCAAACAGAAGCCTGGTTTTGCTGCAGCAGCACTTTCTGCGCGCGCTGTTGTGACAGCAGCTTCCCAAGCAGCTCTCACTGAGCACCGCGCCGCCCTCCCTGCCAGCCTGACCCGGCCAGCACCGCTCCGAGGGATGCAGCACTGCTCCTTACCAGCACTGGTCCCTAATGAACCTCCAAGGTGGATAATCTCGAGCGTCGGGAGCTCATAAACAAGCACAGTGATTTAGCAAGGAAAATTCTGCTATTTTGAGCCAGAAAGAAATGGAGAAATAAGGAATTTTCTCAATTCCAAAAGCGGAAAAAGGCATGTTTGAATTGTTGTTATGGCTGCTGCTGTGAGCTAGGGGAAATATTTGCTCAGGAGAATAGTGTGCTTGGGAAAGAAGGGTTTTTATTCTAAGTAAATGAACTAATTTTAAATGAGTACTACAGCCCCTATTCGAGAAAGTGCTGGAGCACACTGCTGCCTGAGGACATCATTAGGGGCTGCCTCGCCTCTGAGCTCAGCGCAGATCAGAGATGAGGATCTCACTCACACTGACCCACTTGCAAGAAACCTCTTTAGGAAAAGCATTCAAAACTGGATTTTCCTTCGTGTCACTAGGAGTGAAATGCAGAGATCACTTCCTGATCCCCCCCTGCCCAGGCTCTCCTCTGGATCAGCTCACACTGTCCTCCCAGTTCCAGGTGGGAGCAAGAAGCCAACACAAGAACCCCACTGGAGGATGCTGCATTCTCCTTACGACACTTGTGAGCAGTACGTACGATGAAAAGCTTCTCTCTGAATCACAATTCAAAGCTTGTGATTCTCCTCTCACATCGGTTTATACAGCTTCATAAAATCAGATATTGTCTCAGCTCCCACAGAACAATCCTTCAAAACCCCTGTGATTGCATCACACAAAGCAAAGAACTCTGACTCTCTATTAAAGGCCTCAGTGAAATTGAGTTTGGATGGAGACTTTGCAGGAAAGAGGAATATTAACCTGGTTCTCAGAGTTGTAATATTCGGGAGCAGGGAGGGCATAGTGATGGCACACAGAGCCTGACAGGTTGTCCATCAGCTTCAGCTCTCCTTCCAGAGACTCCTGGATCAGCAGGGATATGGTATCAAACAAGTGCCTTTCCTAGGAGGGGTGTGTGCATGCAGAAGGGAAGGGCCGAGCAAAGAGAGGGACGGAGACAGAGAGAAAAAAGGACAGTGTGGAAAACACAACCGAGTAAAAGGGAGAGAAAAAAAATAAAACAGGATAGAAGGGAAAGAAGAAAAAAGACAAACATTAATGGAGAATAGCAGTAACAAACAACAGGACGGGCAATGTGCGGCAGAGAGAGCAGTGCAGTAATATCACAGTGAGCAGCGACAGCTGCTCCGACCCCGCGGGCAGTGCAGAGTGGGATGGGAGCTGCAGGGTTCTGCTCTCCTGCTCCGAGGTCTGTGTGCCCCACGAGCACGTTTTGAGCAAAGAGAACCTCACGTTTAACGCCTCAGTGACACAGATTAAAATAACCCAACTTGAGGAGGTGCTGAGCATCCTGCCCACAAAAACTGCTGACGCCCAGCACAGCCACACACCACACACCAACCCAAGTGGGCCGAGGCTCCTGCAGTTCCGGCCACCTTCTGCCTCAGCACAGACAGCAGGAGTGTGCACAGACCCAGCTTTCAAGGGCAGCGTGGCAACAATCTGAGGGCTGAACTTCCCATGTACGAATGCCTGGTGTGCACAACGGAATGTGGACCATCATTACAGTCAGACAGCAAGCAGTGCAAAAATCCCAGGGACAAGGCAAGCAGAAGAGCATGCTGACCACAGTCCTTGCAGGGTCACGTCCTGGGAATTGCATTCCTCTGCTGCCGTGCTCAGGCATCAGATTTGTCCTGAAGAGTTTGGCTGGCACAATAAATAATTGGAGTGAAATCTCCCAGAGGTTTACAAAGGCTCTGTTTGGGTGAAAGAGCAAGAGAGATGCTCCAGAGATGTTGACCAGAATAAGCCCTTTCCAATGCCACACTCAGAAGGACAGCTTTAATGGCTGACAGCACCCTCAGTGAGTTCTCCTGCTGTTCTGCAGTTTCCCTTTCTGCCAATGCAAGGACTGCTGCACGGCAGTAGAGCTGAGGATGGTTTGCCAGCGCTCTGCTCAACATGCACAGCAGCAGTTGGGGCATGTTATTTCTTCCTAGAGAATATAATGAGTCTGGATTTCCCCATGTTGCCCTGAACTCCTTTCTCGTGTGCCAAGGAGCAGCTCTGGACTCCATCTCCGACAGCAGTGGCTCCTAATGGAACCAGAAACTGCCAGTAGCTTAGAAACTGAAACAAAGCTTAAGCAGAGATTTACTCTTCTCACTCTTGGACTAAAGATCATAAAAGAATTTTTCATGCATTAAAATACTCATTAGTCCACCCAGGCAGAGGTCAAGATACGCTGTTGTGAAATCATGATGTAATAAAAGCTAATGAGCTCTGTGTAGGGTTTAACCCGATTCACCATCAGCTAAGACTAAAAAAAGGGCTGGAGCATTGTTCTTGCATAATTCCAGCACCGCTCCTTCCCAGGGGACACGTCTGGGCCATGACCTCACCTCCCCATCCCTCACACTGAGCTCCATGCAGACGCAGTGTTCAGAGCCTGCTCTGCTGCCCACTGCCGGGCTGTGCCTCCGGCTCTGCTGAGCCCTGGATTATCCCGCTGTTAACAGCGTTTTTTCATGAGCTCAATCATGGGGGTGGCTTTTCAATTGAGATTCTATAAAACAAATTTAATACTTAAGCAAAGATTAGCCAACTTCTATTCCCCTTTTATGTTGCGGTTCGTGGCCGGCATTAGAAAAGCAAACTTATTATGCTCGTAATTTTGCTCTCACAAAGGGCCAAGCCCAGACTCTGCATTAGAGCTAATTTGGAGTTTAGCTCTGAACGGGGCAGCTCAGGCACATCTCCAGAACAAACTGCAAAGCTCTGTGCACCGTGGCAGGCTGAAGCCCTGCCCTGTGCTTCCTCCTGGATGCCCCACAGAGCAGTGAGGAAGGCAAACCCCGGTGCACAGCACACCGCTCCTTCACTACCCCTCGTGCACGTCTTCCCCCAGCAGAAACACAAGCAGCCCCTCCGCACCCTCCAGCCAAGCTTCTCACCATAGGGTAAACTAACGAGAGCTGAGAATCCACCTTGATTTGCAGGGGATGGGGGCATCCACGGGGGCTCTCGGGCCTCTCGCCACCAACGCCGCCCATCCACGTGAAGATGTCCGAGGGGCTGTGCTGGCCAGGGCTGATGGTCTTCATCTCCATCTCCAGTTCTGCCTCGAGCTCTGCCTCCTCCTTAGCCTCCTTGTTGCTCTCCTCCAGGTGCTTCATGAGCACAGCTATCACCACGTTCACCAGGACAAACTGGGCCGTCAGCACGAAGGAGACGAAGTAGATGGGTGAGATGACGGTGTTGTAGCAGGTGGACTCCTGGTCACAGTCTCGCAGGGTGTCCTGAGAACAGCAGGAGAAGACTGAGGGCTGTGAGGAGGCTCCGGGCTGCCAGCACAGTTCCAGTGCCTCGATTCACAAAGCCCATTCTGCAACGCTGAAGACCAAACACGACAGCATGGTGCACAGCTCCCAGGCTCAGCAGGGTGCACTGCCATCCACCAGCTGCCCTGCAGACACCATTCCCCACATTCACAGAGGACGATGCACTGCGACCAGCTGGCACCGTGTGCACAAGGCAGCTTTCACAATGGCATGGCTTTATGGTTGTCCACAAGGAGAGGTTCACTCCCAGAAATAGGAGTTTTCCCAGAAAGTAAGCAAACAAATAAATGAATAAGTAAAATTTAAAAAAAACACACAAAGCCACAACAAAGTAACACCAACAATAGTAACTGCAGGCTTTTAAGGAAACACAAAACTAACAGGCCTAATGAAATGAACTCATGTAGCTTCAGAGAGGCGTCCCTTTATTTTTTCCCTCTGTTTTTACGCGGTTCTCTCTAGAGAAAGGAATATATGGAGCGTGCAGAAGGCTGCAGCCATTGGCCCACCTCCAGACCTCACAGTGCTGGCAGGAGGGGACAAGGTTGGAGCAGCTACGTGTGGCGCATGGACCACCACCACCAGTCATATGGCAGCATAAGAGGTAGTGGCCTCACACTGTGCCGGGGGGCTCAGGTTGGGCATCAGGAACAGTTTCTTCTCCTAGATAGCAACGATGCAGTGGCACAGCTGCACAGAAGCGGGGTGTGCCCTGGGGCGCTGAGCACCACGGAGATGTGGCACGGAGGGATGCGGTCAGTGGGGGTGGTGGGATGGATGGCCACAGAGGGCTCTTCCAACCCAAATGATTCTGTGATTCTGCGTTCGTGGGCCCCTCACCTTCATTATCCCGTTCCAGTTGTCCCCTGTGGAGACGCGGAACAGGGTGAGGAAGGCCATCCCGAAGTTGCGGAAGGTGGCATGTCGGCCCAGCCCCTCACAGGGGTGTGTGTCATCACACTCTGCAGGACAAAGCACAGCAATGAGACCCTGCCCGCCCAGCGCCCACCCGGCACGGGGCAGGGCAGCACTCACCCAGGTCGCCAAAGAGCTCCACTCCAAGAGCTGCAAATATGAAAAACAACAACATGAAGAGAAGACCCAGATTCCCCACCTGGAAAGAGAAAAAGAAACGGGGGGAAAAAAAACACAAAAAAAGAACATTCATTGATTTTTTTGTTCCAGACCTGTTTCTTGCTGTATTCTTTAATCCAAAACTTAAATTGCTTCAGGGGGAAAATGACCTCAATGTGAGGACTGTATCTCAGACTGTGCTTCGGAAGGGAAATGTGATTATCTAATGACAGCAGAGATAAAATGATTAGCATTCCTCCGCAACAAACACAGCCGTGGGCCGGAGGAGGCGGTGCTGAGGCAGGGGGTTACCTGGGGCAGCGCTTGCATCACGGTGTCCAGCAGAGCCCTCATGCCTACAGCCATCTTCAGCAGCTTCAGCACTGCGGAAAACACAGGCATGATATGGTAACAGCAGCACTGGTACAGAGCAGCAAACCCCATCCCTCTCACAGGAGCAGTGGGTTGTAGGAGGAGAAATGTGAAACGATGGCGAGTGTTTTCTGCTAGCCACTACAGCTCCTGCCCTTTGACACCGCTCCTGGTTGCTTGGATACTGCTGAAATCCTGTGCCCTGCAGCATCACCCAGCCTGAGAGCTGGGGAAGCACCGCCGTTCTGCCTGGCCTTCCTCCCCCCTGTCGCTGGGATGGCAGCCTGGCACCCAGCAGAAGCACAGGGCCACAAAGTTGGCTCTGGCAAGTGAGCCAAATAATGAGGTTAAGAGTAAAAGGCAACTTCCCTTCCAACTCTGCTTTAAAGCTACTGGCCAGGAGGAGCGGTGCCCTTTGGAGCCTCTCACAGCACTGTGCACACCAGGTTTGTTGCCAGTGGGTTTAAATCCAACAAAAGAGATGACAGAGAGCATCATCCCCCCCACTTCACCACTGCACCTCCCCTCCTACCCCCCCTTTCTTCCCCTGCGCTGTGAGCAGCTGTTTCCCAGCTCTGGGGCCACTTTCCCACTTCCATAGGCTGCCCACTTGCAAACGTGTAAATCAGAACCTCAGTGAATCACATCTCTTCCAGGAGGCTGCATACCCAGTTGGGAAGTGTATGTATTTTTAATTCTGAAAGGGATCCAACGCACAGGAAAAACACTTTTTCCCCCACCCCTTGAGACACAGCAGCATCTCAATTCTTCCCCAGTTCCCTCTTCACTTAGAAGAGGGCTGCAATCACAGCAATTATGCCTCAGAGCACAACACTGCCCTTCAGAAGAGCCTGGCAGTACTTTACTAAGAACCTGAGCACTCACATTTTGCATCTCTGTCATTTGGACCCACGAGGTCCTGCTGGGAAAGCTCCGGCCCTAAAGGAGCTGCCTTCCCAGCCCAGTACATGCTGTTGCAGCGCGGAGAGACAGATGGATGCACAGTGACAAGGCATGTTTTGTCACAGTGTGGAGAGATGTAAAGTCTCATGGGAAATTAAATTTATTAGATGCTTGTCTTTTAAAGCCAATGCACTCAGGCTCATGTTCTGCAATCCCTGTCAGAGACGACTTTCATTTGACTGGCATCGTTTCCCAGGTACATCTCTGGGAGTTACAACCACAGCTATTTGTCTTTTAGTTCTGAGCTCTCAGCCTTCAAGTTCTCTTAAGATAGAAACACATGGTCAATTGGCTCAGCTCTTTGGCTCCTCACAAGTATTTTTCTCCATTGTTCTTTTATTTGTTTACAGACTGCCGATGCCAGAGCTATGCACATTGTGATGTGCCCCAGCACTGTTTCCCAACACTTAACTCTCTCCTGGAGGGGACCCTGCACCTCAACACAAGCAGATTCTGCTTAATTTGTCTCACCTCGAGCAATCCTGAGAACCCTCATGATTCGGATAATAGTGGGGTTAATTGGTAGCGAAGCATTCACCTCAATCTCTTCCAAAGTGATACCCATGATAGACAGCAGCACAATTGCCAGATCTAATTGGTTCCATCTGGAGACAACACAAAATGAAGTTTAACATCTACTAAGAAGCTGGCAACAGGAGGCAGCTTGTTTCACACGAATTCCAGGCATTTCAATGGTTCTCACACTCAAATGAATCTGCAGCATTTTTCTGAGGGTATTATACAAAAGCAGTTACGTTATGAAATCATTATAATTAACACAGCTTGTTATAAAATCAGCCAATGGCCAATGATGCTCTTGGCTGAAGGGAATGAGAAACAAAGCAATTCTGCACCCAGAGGCTGTGGAACTGAGGGGCGATGCTGGAGCTGCTGACAGTCCCTGGTAGACCCAGCACACAGGGCTCACTGTGAGCTTGCCTGGGAGGAGCTGGACCCTGCAGCCAGTCCTTGTAGCAAGACCTGCTCTGGGCATAAAACAAGCCCTGAGGGGTTATGAGAGGGGAAATTTGAGAAAGATGTCATTTTGTACGCTGCTCAGTATCTGCATGAAAAGAGGTCTCCTCTTCCTCCTCGGTTTACACTCAGGAGCAGATTTTCTCTCTCAGGACAATCTGTTCTCATTCACCCAGCCCTCCTGGTTCTGCAGGCACACTGCTGGTGTCAGGAGGAGATCTGCTGCCCAGCACTGCCTTGCTGTCCGTCTGTCTGCCCACCACACAGATGCACGTCACGCTCCTTCCCACGCACACTCCTCTCTCCAGCCCCTACCCCAGCCCAGTTCCAACCCACCACACAAGAAGCATTCCCTCGTGTTACACTGCTAACAGCAGGAGGGTCACTGGGCTCTAAAACCCCAACTGCGGGCAGCTGTGTCCTGCAGCCCTCAGGCAGCCAAGCTGCAGCCTGTGTTACCTGTCTTGGAAGAAGCGGCGGAACCCGAAGGCAATGAGCTTGGAAACAGACTCCAGGACAAAGATAACGGTGAAGATGTAATTGCAAATCTTCAGGGCTTCGTCGAGAACCTGTGATGTGGAAAGAGCGCAGAAGTTGGGTGCCAGCAGGCCTGCCCTCACCGTGTTCCAGCAGAGCTACTCAGTCCCTAACAGGACAAAAGGCTCAGCAGGATGACAAACGTCCCACTAAGATCATCTGTTCCAACCATCAAACCATTCCCATCATGCCACTAAACCACGTCCCTCAGTGCCACATCCATCCCTCCCATGAACATCTCCAGCACCAACACACCAAGAAAACATCAGATTGGGTACAATGCTCTGCATGGCACACTCAGCCTCTGAAGCATCTGCAGGATCCTCACATCTGCAAGCAGACCAGAGTGGTCCTAGGGCCATGGTTCAGCCCTCTGTGCTGTCATCCCACAGCACACCAACCTCAGGGTCATCACGCAGATGCTGCATACCAGAGGCCTAGAGACAAAATGTTATTTTCCTAAAGAAAATTAAAAACAAAAGCCTGCCCAGCACTGTTATAATACAAGAGAAATCACGGCTGCAGAGCAGCGGCGGTGAGATGCAACGCCCTCACGAGATTCCAGTGTGGGCTCTGCAGCCAAAAGCATTCCTCATCACCAACTGATTGAATCACACAGGAGCTGTCCGGGCTGCTTGAAGGTGACCCAAACAGAAGAAATAAACTGGGCTTGTGCCTTTTCACTTTTTGGCTCCTTTATGATAGGCTGAAGGATATTTTCCCCCTTATTTGATGTCTTTTTTTTTTTTTTTTTAACATTAAGTATTCAAACCCTGTGTAGTTTTAGAGAATATTTCCTCCTATTGTGTGCTCTATTTATTCATTCTGAAAGTAGCTAATAAAAACAAGTACAAGTTATATGGCAAAAGCACCTATTTCCATCTCATTCTTACGCACAAGAGGCTTGACGGCCCAGGACAGGCTGTTTTTATTTCCAGAATATGACCCAAACCCAGAACTGAGCACACTAATACATTAAAATGTATTTTAAGGACCAGCATACAACCCACTGCCTGTGAAAATTAAGCCCTATGGGACTTTGGGAGAAACTTTGCGAAGCAGAAAGGTTTCATAAATGCAACTTGTTTTCCCCTTTTTCTCCTCTTTTTTTTTTGGTGAGAATGTTCAGTCAAACAGAGGGTTTTAATAACGATCCTTTGTAGCTAACGGCACAAATGCTCTCCCACCAACTGTCAGAGCGGTCACCTCGCACCTACCCACAGGGCAGAGGTGCATCAGGCTCCGGGTACCGATGGGTACCGCTGGAGGCAGGGGTAGGATGGATACCTTCAGCATGGTGAACAGGGCCCCAGCTCAAATGGAAGCGTCCTTAATCGCGTCCACCAGCCAAGCACACTGACCTTGGGCTGCTGGTAGTGCTCCATAGCCATGGTGATCACGTTGAGGCCGATGACGCCCGTGATGAACAAATCCAGGTAGTGGCTGGTGCACATCTGGTGGATCAGGAAGCGGAAGCGGGAGTAATCCGAATAGTAGGGCTTGCACTGTGCTTCTGCAGCGGGAGCAGAGCCGAGAGGCACAGCAAGTCATCCTCTGTGCCTCCGTGCAGTCAACGCACCCTCACCTCCCACACTGACAAATTCTAGACCGATTACAGCAACATGCCACCGTCTTCTTTCCCTCCCTCCCCCTCTGCTGCCACGTTACCACCTTTAATACACAGCAGGGCTCCTGTCACCTTACATCCATTAAACACCTTGGGCGGGACATGCGCTATACTCAGCCTTACGGCATCAGGGATGAGGTGAGCTGGGATCGCTGTGCTGAGGAGCGTTTTCACCATTGGGAAATTTCAATTAAGTTTAAATTAAGCCGACAATTTTTGTTGCTGCTGAGCTTAGAAAGTCCCCAAAGCATCCAAAAGCCCAATTAGCAGTCAGATGCTGGGGACAGATTTTAGTACCAATGGCTTAGAAATAAAGGGCGTTCAGTCAGTGGTGGGCTTTGAAAGAGAAGTAATTTGGTCCTATTATGTTCCTTGCAATAAACTGCGGAGAGAACAAAATTCAACACTTGGGCTGTCAGAGCCGTGAAGAACGGTCCATAAAAATACCACGGGAAACTGATCAGTCAGCCTCAGCCCCAGAAAATAATGATTCTCCATTTGTACAAGATTACCAAAGCACAGATTTCGCTGTACAACTCATTCCCAGGTCAGGCTGCCTCAGAATGACACGCGCTCTTTAGACCCCAAATGTTCCCACAGATAAACTCATTTACTCACCTAATCTCTAATGAGAAAATGCCAAGGCTGAGTATATAAATCAGTACCATTTTCAAGGAGGCATTATAATGCAGATTGAAGTGGAAAGGACTGTCTTGAATATGTCAGAGCGTAATATTACTCTACTAATTAGATGATCAACTGGTTATGAAAATCGTTGAGCTGTAAGAATTACACGGCTTGATATTTTCTGCAAATGTACAGCTTGATGCATTACTGCGAGCAGAAAGTTGGGCAGAATGGAGCTGTGAAGGCCGGGCTTCAGCTGCCCTCGGGGAAGACTAATTTTAGAAGATTAAGTTTTGCCTGCAAATAGAATTCACTTTGTCAATAGTCAGAGGCATTGCAATCAAAGCCATAGGCTGGATGGCTTTGTGCACTCCCTGCTTCACAACAGGATCCCGAAAATCAGAGTTGCTTTGGTTTTTCCATAGAGACAGGCTTTTCCCTTACAGCCCAGCACCAGAGAGACAAACCAGCGAGAGGTTTTATTCTGTAGGGGTTTGGAATGTCCACAGTTTGGCCTCAGTGCAGTCACATTAAAGGCAATGTCAACGTTCACTTGCTGATCTGCAATGCTTAGGTGCTTTAGGTGATCTGTGCTGGAGTGCTAAAGCACGACGTTGATGGAAAGGTCTGCACGACGAGTTTCCACGCTGAATCTATTGCGTGCTTATAAAGAAGCAGACCAGCAGCTGCTGACTCACTCATAAGCCTGTGTCAGATATCTTGGAATCTGCATAAATCTCCATAAAGTCAAGATATCTCGATCACATTATGCTAAGTTATGAGTAGCAAATTAACTAAAATGTTTGAATACAATTAAGTCAGGAACAGGACCTATTTTTATGAACCAACTTATCATCTCAGTAAGAAACACCATCGTAATTGGATCACTTCTCTACATTTATGTATAATTCACATTCAAAAAGAAAAATGTCAGTGTTTCTGCCTTTTCTTGCAGTGGATTTACTTATGAATAATCACACTAGAATTCGTGTTTTTTCAGCTTTGATTGACAGGTAATTCCAAATCCTACAGAATAGCACCGACACCATTAGAACAGAGAGAGGATTTAGAGAGAGGCTGTAAAACACCCCCTGTGCAGGGATCTGCACCTGGATGAGCTGCTGCGTGACCTTCTAAGCAGGGTTGCTAATTGCTCGTCTACCTCCCCCCTCCCTGCAGCACCAAGGCTCTGCCTTGCCTTTCCCAGCACATCCTCAGGGTTTCCGTAGCCAAACATCCCCGGGTGCCGCCTTAGAGAACTGCTGTTGGTAAACGCTTTGTCCTTCACCATTAACTTTGCGAGGAGGGGATTTGTCAACCCTGCTTATAAATCAGCCCAGCGCTCATCGCACCGTGCTCTGCATGCTGGCCATGCAAATCAGTGCAGTACTGAAGTCACCTGGTGATGAACCAACCACACACCCACAGCATGCTGCCCGGACACACAGCACTGTGCCTAGGGAGGCAGGGAGCTCCTGCTATCGTCCGAGTGCCACTTCCATAGGAGCAGTGCGTTTCTGCACATCCATCGGGTGGTACCGGCGTGTAATTACCCAGGTGCAAAGCCCCTGCCCCCTATTGCACAGTGTTCTTTGGAATTATTGCAGTAAAGGTCTAAACAATACCAACATCTTGGGAAATACAGACATCTGTTAAACTCCAGGTGGTGAACTTCACAACTAACACAACACCACATTACTGTACTGTTACAATACACTGTGTCAAGAACAACAAGAGCTCTGGGTTAGTCTCGGTTATCACTGAAAGGTTAACTGGCTTCCCGGCACACGTGGTGTTAAAGAAACGAGGAGAGCAAATGAACAAAAGAAAGAACTGGCAGAATGAGAATGTGAGAAAATGGGAAAATACAGCAAAAGCCCACTACAAAACATCAGGCTGGTAAACAGGATGTAAATTAAGCTGCTTCACCATGGCTGCAGGCCAGGAGCGGGGGCGAGGGAGCTGCCTCAGATGGAGATGCAGCTCCTCTGGATACAACCAGCTCAGGCTGTGGGTCCCGAGCAGTTTCCTCCCAGCCCAGGTAGGAAGGTGATTTGGCAGAGGGAGATGGTGGTCCTGGGAGCCCCCTGCTTCTCCCCACCCTGGAGATGGGCTCCGTAAGGCTGCAGCAGTTGGGTTGATGTCTGGCACAGCAGCACCAGCTTTCAGCTTATCACTGTTACGAGCCCTCCACTCAGCTTGTTTCCCAAGCAGGGTTTCCCTGCTCCTCCCTGCAGCACCCCATGGGATGGGGAGCACAGGCAATGCCTGCCAATGGCTGGGAGCAGAACGCTGCAGCCTTCCTGGCACATCGAGCATCTCACTGTGCTCTGTCCTCAGCTCCCCCTGTGAGCCCACCACCCAAGGCAGTGCTACTGATGAACCCGCTGCACCCCCAGCCCCGCACTGCCCCAGTGCAGGAGGCAGGATGCAGAAGGGCCCAGGGGACAGTCCTGGGGGCACTGGGCAGATATGACAGCCCATCACTGCAGTCCTTTGCCGGCTGCAGGACAGCTGGTGTCACCGCTGGCGCAGGGCTGCCTCCCAATATTGCCCTGTCAAGAGAGAAATTGCTGCTTTCCCCAAAGTGCCTTTGCAGCCAGAGCTGCGTGGGCACAGGAAATTGGAATTCACGAGAGTGGGACAATTCCATTACAGTCTCCTCTGGCTTTTCCCTTCTTCTCTAATAAGGGAATTAACTCCTTTCAGGTCTGGGTATATCTGGAGGACAGCAGCAAGCGTGAGCAGTGAGCCTGTGACGCAGCTGGATTTACAAACTGTATCAGGAATATTATTAGGTTAAAAAGTAGTTTGCACTGAAGGAACTTTTTGCTTTTTCTATTTAAACAGAGCATTTTACTTGGCTTTTATTGTACTGAATGGATTTATATTTAAAAAAAAAAGATAAATAAAAAGTAAAACAGAAAATAAATTATTTCCACTGTGAAGTTCCCAGTTGTGACAGAATGCAGACTGATGAAAAAATAAAAGGAAAACTATAAAACTGTGATATCTCAGTGAGCACCAGGCAGCAGCACGCAGTGCTCCATCTTATCTTCACACCAAGAGGAAGGCCATCCCTCGGGAACCACCATGTGTGTGGGTCTGAGGCTCACATCTGTGGGCATCCCTGGAACCATGGGAGGACCAACCCTCACCCTCCACCACCCCACAGGGACCAGCTGGGCAGCCCCACATTCTCTGAAATGAGACCCAATGGAAAGGCAATGCAAGGCAACACAAAGTACACAGCCTGAGCCTGCATGGGATAATGGAGGGGACTGGAATGAGTTCAATGCCTTAAAAAGAAAACAAAAGAACGTAAACCAGGCTCGATGCAACTGCTCTGCTGTGCACGAGCAGAAGAGGCATCACAACCAAACAACAAACGCAGCCCCACACAGTGGGACCCCAGCACTGAGCGAGGGCTGACAGCCAGCACTGCAGGAGGAACAGGGCCTGCCAAGGAGGGCGAGAATGAAGGCACAGAAATAAAAACACCGGGAATGGCAGCGGGAAGGGATCGACCAAAGCATGTTGTGGTAACTTCCACCACAGCCCCAGAAATACAAAGGTGGGAACCTCTGCCCCCACAGCTGTCCTTCGTCCCAAAGCCAACAGCCCTCACCTTGCAGCTGCTACTCAATGCGTGCTCTGTGCAATGGCTGACAGGTGGATGGATTTCTCACAGGTGAGAGCTTTAACACAGTTATCCCAGGACATTATTTTTGTTGGAAATTATAGCTATGTTTGTTTCTACGTAGGCGCCTCTTTAATTATTCAGGCTAATATTCGTGAGATACAAATCAAACAAAACACTTGGCTGATCAAAGCTTCTTCTGACAGTAAAAGGAGACAGACTGATGGCAGGGCATGGCGGGTCGGGGGGGCAGGGCATGGCCCGAGTCCTGCAGAGGGCACAAGGCTGCATCTTTACTCTTTTTAACCCAGGAGATGCCCTGCGGATGGAGCAGCTCTCAATCAGTGAGAGGAACTCACGGGTTTGGTAGAACTACAGATAATCCCCACATCATAGCATCATGCAGTTGGGTTGGAAGGGACATTAATCATCTTCTCCCAGTCCTGCTGGAGGTCACTGTGGGGAAGATCCTGGATCTTATCCTGCTGAATACTGTGTCTCCCTGTGTGGAGCAAGGGTGGAGAAAGAATGAAATGCTCTCCCTCTGTGGCCCTGCCTTCCAGAGACACTCCTGTAAATCACTCACACTCCTCAGCCTGTGGTTGGAAAGCCAGAGTAAACAAATCAAAGATCCCTTTCATAGTCCAGTCATTATTCTCTAAAATAAAACTAAACAAACAAACAAAAAAAAACACAAAGAAAAGCCATGAGAAGTCTGACAGTGCTTCAACTAAAGCCAGAAGAAAAAAAAAAAAAGATGGCTGAAAAACATAAGATGACCATTGGACAAATTAAGGATTGGCAAGTGTGAGTCCTGAGCCAGGCCGGCAGACCTGCAGTCAGAACGAGAGCTGTGTGCCACGAGGGAAGCGCCGAGCCTTGCACCACACACAGGTTTAGTGGGATGCCTCCGAGCAGCGCGGCCAGAGTTAGTTACACAGCACTGCCATTCACGGGACACAACGCCACAGCCGCCCAGTACCTGGCACCACGCTGGCTGTGCTCTCCATTAACACATCATCCAGCATTAGATCTAAAAGAACGAAATGGCATTAATCATCCGGCAGGACACGCAGCGAGGCTCCCCTTCCCCGTCAGAGGTTCCTACGGCTCTGCACTGCCTCCATTCAGAATCTCCTGTAGGATCCTCTCCTTGCATCTCAGGGAGGGCAGCTCAGGCATTGGGGCTCATTGGGAAAAGCGAAGGGCTCTCGTGCTTTTCCCATGGTGGAAGCCCAAGAGAATGCCCTGGCTTGGTGATGAGGAGGAGGCAGTCCTGACGGACAGAGTGGGTACCTGAGGTAGGGCACACATCCTGCTGGGCCAGCGCCTGGCAACAGCCACTGCATTGCCTACACCTCACCAAACCGGGGTCCCACACACTTTGCAGATGTCAGACTGGGGAACTGCGTTTGAAAAGTCTATGAAGAAAAACAACTGTTAGATGGGCTGCATCTGGCTGCATGGAAAACAGACATCTGGGTGGGTGTGGGCGCTGGGGACACTCAGAACGCCCTGCCAGGAGCCCCCATGCAGCTGCTGGTACAGCCCCTGACTTGGCATCGCCTGCAAGCTGCCACCATGCAGGATGAAGCAATGGTATCTATGGGCTCCTAAGGCAAAGCTGGACATGGACGTTTAAAGACAACGTTCGGCTGAACGCAAATGGGGAAAACTGTTCTGAAGAGATTTGGAGGGCTTCAGACTTTGCTCTTCTAAGGTTTTTATGGCAATTGAATTCTCAGCAATATTTGATCCTCAATAAAGCAGCTGCTTATTGCCTCTTTAATTAGACATTTCATAGGACTGAATGAATAACTGTATCTCCAAGAACGTTTTGTGATTCCTTCTCGCTAGGAAACTGCCCAGACTTACATCTTCTCATCATCTAGTTCCTCTAGCATTATAAATAAGGTCATCAATAGTAACTAAACATTTATTTTCCTTCTGCGCCTTCCTTCCAGTGACTTTAAATACAGATCTTTCTATTTGGTGTTTAAAAGCATTTTCTCCCATCAGCCTGAAATTGCGTTTGGGAAATTGTGCTGCCCGAAAGAGGCTCCCAGGCAGCACCAGCTCCTTCCACCTGTACTGCACTCAGCTGAGAGCAGTCTGAAGTGCGTGCAGGGAAAGGTGACTGCAGAAAACTGGTTCTAAAAAAAAAAAAACAAAAAAGGCTGATAGCCACAACTCACTTAGAGAAAGAAAAATTCTCTTACCCATCGCAACCATCAGGGCTCACTGAATGCTCCAAAAGGAAGAATCTCCAGGTAGAGATCCTTTCCTGGTGGCAGCCAGCCCTTAAATGAGGCTCAGAGAGGGGTGGAACCTTCTGGTCACACAGGTGAATTGCTTTCAGCTGTGCTCCCAGGGCTGCCTGTGTCCCTTCTCCAGGTGCTCGATCATGGCTTCAGGCTGCTACTCAGTAATTCCCATTCAGTGTTCTCCATTGCTCCCAAGGGAAGCCTCCATCTTCACACTGAGCATCGAGAGAGCCAGGCTCTTGGCATAAAGCAAACCTTGATGCCCAGAGGCTGCTGTGATAATGCTATTGGTTACAAAACCTGGGAAGGTACTGGGACCTACAGACAAGGGAAAGTGCTGCATGAGTGCTGAACGGAGAGAAGCTGAGACACGATCGTGTTACGTGGCTGAGCAACTAGGCTTGCCACAGCTATTAACTGGCTCCTAGTTTATTAAAAAAAAAAACAAACTGACTTATTGTCACCAGCTTTCAGAACAAGTGCTTGATCGGACAGTCTCTTAAACAGTACCAAAGTCTGTCAAAGGTAGAGATGTGAGAGGGGATGTAGAGAGAAGCAAAGACGGACTGGGGAGAAGAGTGAGGCCACGGACACAAAGGGAAGGAAGAACCTTTGGGCAGAGGAGACCATGTGAGAAGAGTATGTGTGACTTTGGCACCTGGCTGACTTATTCCTTAATCTCTGAACCAAAAGTAACAAAAAAAAAAAAACAATGCCCAAAGACAAAGGTAGAAGACCATTGACAGAGTGGAGGCTGAGCACCTTTCCCTTTCAAAGCCTCCTCTGGAAGGTCTGCAGGTGTGCACACAGAGCTCGGGGCTCATTCAATTTGCACCACTGCCATTTTGCCTCCTTAGTTACTCTCCTCCACCGCTTTTGTTTTCTAATCTGTATTTCTCAAGCAAATGCTTTGATATGTTTCTCTGAGGGGTTTTTAAGCATTACTAGAACGAGATGTCTCCATTATTTTATTACACTCTTGAATAGCAGTGGTGCTACCATGCCAATAAATAATCCTACTTGATAAATGGGACAGGTGGCATCACTGTGGCATTACAAGGCTGTAATAAACCAAATAGTGAATCCAGTTATCAGCAACAGTGCTCATGACTTGGAAGATTGACGGTGCCATCCGGCACTGCAGATCTTTGTAGTTGTCACTATTTGTGTAACACTGAGCTCTGCCATCCAAGAAGCTCCAGGTCTGGTTATCATTATTTTTTAAATTTAAATAACCTCCAATGGGAAGGTCGTTGCAAATCACGCTGTGATTGAAAAGGCTTCCGTGTCTCCTTGCTCAGCCTAAAATCACACTACTTCCTTCATGCAAATTTCATAGCTGGACATGCTTTTAGGGGAAGAATGATCACCAGACGCGAGGCAGGGAGGGGAGGGAGAGGGGATTGTGTGGAAGGTCAAGCAGGACTCAGAAAGATGTGGAAAGACTACCGACCAGCCATCTGTTTCTCCTTACTCCTTCTCTTTTTCTCCAGCCGGCGAAGCCTCTTCTCCTCCCTCCTCTTGGCTTCTTCCTCCTCCTGGTGCTGCCGACACTTGTGGAAGTTCTCCACCACGACCCCCACGAACATGTTGAGCACAAAGAAGGCCACGATGAGCAGGAAGGAGATAAAGTAGAGGAGCATCCACGGGTTGTAGTTCATGACTGGCTGCAAAGGGGATGGAAGGCAAATGTCAGCGAAACCTCAAAAAAAAAAAGGAGCAAATGGTTAGAGCTGCTATCATCTGGACAGTGGGCAATCCTCCGCGGCACGGCAGTGCGCTCTGCTCCCTGTGACAACCACAGCCTTCTGAGCTGGTTCAGCAGAGCAGTCCCAAATCACAAAGTGCGCTCAGAACCACGTCTGATCTGCCAGCAGCATCCCCTGCAGCCATCGTCGCCCTCACTGAAAACCCAGACCCACGCTGAGCTATTCTTTTCTCCCAGAATGCTCTAAATTCCAGCCTTCTCTCTTCAGCTAGTGCCGTTCACCTGCTATGGCCTTACTACAACAACAGTGTGGCACAATCTGTAGGGAAAAGGCTGCCTTCAAGCCCTGGGCTCCTCGCTGTGCTCCCTCCTGACCCACTGCCATTTTGTTCTAGCCACATTTCTGGCTCCTTGCAGCTCATACCTGCTGGTCAACTCCTACTGCATCCAGGCCATCGTACATGATATCCACCCAGCCATCCTTGGAGGCCAGCACAAAGAGAGACATCAGGGCCTAGAAAAACACAGAGAAGAGTTGCAAGGAGTTGCAGCAGAGATTTTTCACTCGTAACACTTTACTCCTCTTTGCCCTTTCCTGTCTGGAGATCGTCATTACCCGGCTGATAATGGGGCACTTTGATGCCCAAGGTTTCTCCTGGCAGCAAAAAACCCATCAGTGTCAGAACATGGTTCAGCAACGAGTGCTAATTCGGAAACCACAAAGCTGAACACAAAGCAGCTTCGCTTCCACCCTCCAGGTCTCTACTGCTCCCTGCTAATTAGTCCTCACCATGCAGCTAAAATAAGGCAGTGTTGCAGAGATGGTTGGATGTGTCCGGCTCTATTAGACAAGCTCTTCTGCAAGATATATTTGGTTTGTTATGTAGCAGTGAAGCAATTAAGTACTCCACAAAGCCACATGTGCTTGTTCTGTTCTGAAAAGAAGTGTGTGGCTGCTTGGAAACACCACCTTTGGGATTTACGGAGACAGAACGCTGTGTGTGAACTGAATATTTACTGTGACTGGCAGTGCCCTGTAAGAAAATCCCATGGGATAATAATGCACAGGTTTTAAGTCAAGGAGGTAAAGGAGCAAAGAAGCAGATTACCGTGCTATTAATACCTGGCCGAGATTATCAAAATTATACTTGTGCCGGACCCATTTGTAGCTTGCTTCTGCACAATCCGATTTATTTGTGATGTTTCTGGTGTCCTCCCCCTGGCAGATAAAAAACTTGCCTTTGAAAAGCTGCAAAACACACAAAGAGGAGAGGAAAGGTAATGGTTCAGACCACAGGATTTCTCAGCAGAGGATGGATATTTCTCACAGGGAATTCTGCACAGCCCATGCAGCCAGACGAGCCGAAGGAAATCGCCGTGTTCATGTGGGTTATTGACTGAGCAGCCTGCCTGATCTGTGCCTAATGAGCAAACGCGTCATTTCACACCGTTCTGGGCGCCACGTGGGGCATTCGGAGCTTCGGTTTGGCGCCCTGAGAGCTGCCTGCAGCCCGTTGCTGCCAGGCTCATCGCTGGGGCACGTGGGTTGGCTCTGTGACCCAGCTAACAGTGCTGGCAGCGCTGGCCTTGGAGCCGCCGGGCAGTGCGGTGTGAGGGGCCGTGGCAGCCGAGCACAGGCGGCACTCGGGGGCACAGCCGTGAGCTGCGCTGCTGGCGGGCGGAAGGGGCACAACTGCACACACTGCAGGGAAGCCGAGGTGCTGCAGCGGGGCGGATCTGAAGGCTGTTCTCCAACTACTGCTGGGCTCTGGAAATATTCCTCGTGTGAGGCGTCAGGCTGGTGCTGATACCTGACCCTGACCTTCCTTCCCTTGCTGTAAGCCAGGAGAGATGCAGCTCCTGGGAAGCAAACTCCTGATCTACAAACGCCCGAGGAACAGCAGCTTCCCTGCACTTAACTGCAGGCAGTGGCAGGGGATGAGGACTGCTTCAGGCATGATTGATGCCGGCAGAACAGAGGGGCTCACAGCCTGCCAGACAGCCAGGTTTATTTGCTGACAGAAGCTGCTGTTTCGGCAACCTGCTCCTTAAAACACCACCTGGGTATACAGAGAAATGATGCTGATGGGTTTTGATCTGCTGTTGTAGACGAATATCAGTAGAAATAATAGCGAACAAGATAAACCCACACATTACTCCATGGGTTTCCTTCAGGAACCCGCAGCAGCAGAAGGATGTTTTCTGGGCATGTAAAGGTAATCGCCATCCAGCGCAACCATAAAGCTCCTGGATGTAAGGAGAGCATTCCCTGATCTTCCCGTGGAGAAACACTATCATGTGTAAGGCAGACAAGGGAGATATAGCTTGCACAGATCAGAAAGTTTTAATTAAGCAGGAAGGTAAACAACTGTTCTAATATATTGTCTATAAATACAATTTCTCCTGGAGCCGGACCGTAATGCCCGTCAGGTGGGAGCAGTAACACGGCTCCTCGCTGGCTTTGGAAATGCAGAGCCTGATCTGTAAGAATGCTGATTGCTGGCGGTGCGTCAGTCGGAGCTCCAGCTTCCAGCACTGCCAGAAGGGAAAGGCCGAGGGTTTGGCAGTCTGTTGCTTGTGTCTGATTAATCACCATCCACACGTGGATGAGCACCACGACAGAAGCAGTCTGGCTAAGAGGAGACGCCGTTAGAAGCTCCCGAGTCTGAATTGTCATCACATAAAGCTCTATCAACTGTACTTTGATCTCCTTCACGTGGGAAAACCAACTGTAACTTGGAGGGATCATCTTTTTATAGAAAGAGTTACGGCCCTCATCTCACCCCTAATTACACATCAGCATTAACCGAGAACTTTGCTTCCTGAATACGAGATCAGCCTTTCTCACATCTACCCCTGAAGCACATCAATAGTCACGACAATTTAACAGAAGACAGCAAGTCACAGGGGAAGCAATCACAATTAGTAGGGAGGAAATTCAAAGGGCGCACTGCAGGTTTTGGTGGTTGGCATCAATTTCCCCGTGCCTGAGTTTTGTACCGTTTTACAGATATGCTTAGCTTTATGAATCACCTCAGTATAAGGGATGGAGGTGGTTAGCTGTGACAGAGCCAATCCAGCTGCCCCTGGTTATGGATGGCACAATTCTGTCCTCTGTTTATTTCCAATGCCGTATTTATTATTTATGCAGCATATTAGTAAAAAACATTACATAAGACACTATTCTGAAAGAAAGCAAAGCAGAGCTGCTTCCCAAAGCTGTCTGCAACAGGGCGGGCAAACTTCAGAGAGAAATCAGTGTTATGTCAGAACATTTATATGAAACAATCTCTTCTTCTGAGGTAATGAGAAATCAATTAAACAGGAAACTCTGCCACTTTTTCCCCTGGGTTCCTGCATTGCTAGGATTGAGGATATTGCTAGCAGTGCCAGCAGGAATCAGGCTTGCAAATCTCTGCTTCTGCAAGCTCTCAGTTTTACAAACTGTCAGAATCTGAATGAATCTCCAGGTCAAGGTCTCTCTGGAGTTTACACACCAGCGATTTCAGCCTTGAAAGCTTCTATTTCCCTATGGCTTTAAGCCTAGAAGGAAGGTGGAGGGGAATGTCCCCGTGTTATCTCACAGGCTGAACAGGAATGGGATTTAAGTTCCCCTGAGCTGAGGTTTGCTGGCAGTACATGTCATGCTTCCGGCCTCGCTCTACTGTGGAGTGGCCAGGGGAAGAAAGAAAGCAGAGAAATAGTTTGATTTACGTCCTGCTGCAGGCAGAGCAGAAGTCCTTGTGGTGGGGAAGTGATGAAGAAAGCCCATTCTGTGCCTTTGAGGGGGTCATCCTGTTGGCTTTTGTACCACTACGTGCAATAGGAAAGCTTCAAGAAAGTCCAGCACATCAAGTGACACGCAGCCACGACTGGCACTTCGGAAGTAAATGTTTTGAGAGCACCAGAAAGAGCACACTGTGCTGCTGAGGTGGGACCAAGAGCTGCTTAAGCCCTTGGGTCTGAGTCATCCTGGGCCATTAACTATGGCACAATTACAGATTCAAAACCAACACGCATTTCTTGAGCATGGGCACAGGACCTTGATGGAGCCACAAAGAGACAAAGCTGGTGCTGCTCCGTGGCTCTGATCACTGCTACTTCAGCTACTGCTAGCAATGCACGTGGCTGCTCACTGTTGTTAGGCTGTATTCGTTAGTGACTTCTGAATGGCTGACTAATTATGGGAATGCTGCTGCTTCCTTGCTAGAAGGAAGAGCTCCCCAGGAAGCTTTGGTTTCAGAAGGGTGCCCAGTGGTACAAACAGCCAACTGTGAGACCAGCCAGGGCCTGTACACTTGTTGTCTTGGTGCAGAGGCATACAGGGACTCACCTGAACTCCCAGGATCCCAAAGATTATGAAAAAGGCACAGCAGATGACCACAATGTTCCCAATGGGCTTCAGGGATGACATGAGCGTCTCCACCACCAGCTTCAGTCCTTGGGCTCGACTAATGACTCTGTGGGGGCAAAGAAGCACAAAGCCTATGTCAGTCCTTCTTGTGTCGAGTTCTGCCTCTGATGTGGAAAAGAATGGCAAATAACTCAAAAATCAGGATGGGAGAAGCAGTTCTGGCCTCTGTGGTTGTTGAGGGAGAGGGGTCTCTGCCTATGCACACAGCCACGTGTGAGAGAAGAGGAGGAGAGCACCCGTGAGGAGCCAGGAAGGTCAGTGTGGGAGGAAAAGCAGATATAAGGGCTGGCCTCATACTTTTCAAGCTTGGAGTGATGGTTTTATCTAACCCACTATCGATCCTCAATCCATTTCCTGATCAGCTTCTTACATTGCCACTCATTATGGCATTCTTCTCTTTCTCTAATTTGCTCTGAAGGGCTCTCTACTTTCCAGCCTGGACCACACCTTCCCTGGGATGCAGCCTCCTGCTTTGCTTCACGCACAAGCACACACCTCTATGTCTGTAGCACATCCAGGACCGCAGAATCCTCCCAGAGCGCTTTTCTGTGTAGTTTCAGGCAAAGCTCCTCACTTCCCCGCTGGTGGAGAAATGCAGCAGCCGCTCTTACAGCTGCCTGCAGACCCGGTGTGCCCACAACCAGGACCTGTGTGAGCCCACAGAGAGCCCCTCAGTGCCCAGGGCTCAGCTTTGCACCCACCAAATGGAACCATTGCTGGCATCCAGAGGAACGTCCCCAGATCACAGGCACCCAACCTTTCTGCAGCTGCACTCTGCCAGCTACTGCATAACATTCTAGGCTACATGGGAAGGTGGGGAAGAATAATGAGCACATCACAACAGGAGCATGGTAGAATATCTATATAAAAGAGGAGAAACTGTACTTCACTCTCAAAGGCCATGCTATGATGAAAGAACAAGGCTGATGTGCACTGGCTGAAGCGCATCTCTCCACGCTGGGAAGATGAACGAGGTGTTCAGGCTCACGGCCACGGAGGTGCAGAGCTGGAGCACTGATGAAGGCACTGATGGGGCTGCGTGCCTCTCTCCCGCTGCCAGCCGGAGCTCAGCGTTTTGCTGGCTCTGTACTCTGCCACAGAAGCTTCCAACTCAGGAGATTTGATGATTCTGTGATTCTGAGCTGTGCTTTCCCAAAGCAGAAATAGCTTCTGCAGCAGGAGAGGGAAGGAAGGAGTCGGGGGCTGCTCCCAGTGCTTGGTGCTGACGGGGGCCACTAAAACTTCCTGCCTGCTTGTTGCTGCCTGCTTCTCTCTTTTGCCATCGAGTCTTCTCACCGCCTCTGCCGTTTGGCCCCAAATGCAGCTGCACTGCCTGGAGCACAGCTTGGAGCTCTGTCGCCTGGACAGAATCCAATTCCTTCTCCTCTCTCCCCCTCTCTGGTCCCGGTGCTCCCAGCAGAGGTCCCCACGGACACATCCCGGTGCCCGACGTGCACGGCCCGGCCATGGGGTGTCGGGACCGCGGCCGAGCGCTGCGAGCCCCGTCCTGCCCCACAGCCTGAGCAGACGGAGGGCAGGGAGCGGCTCCTTCAGAGACTGTTGGCATTGAACAGTATCCCGAAAATCTAACAATTATTCCCTTTTTTTCTGGTTAAATATTTACACTACATGTCAAGGGTAAATCGTCAATTATCTTTTTAAAAAAGAAACAGATGGTGGTATTTTCATCTGCTCCCTTCCCAGCGACACACAAGAGGCAGATGCTGCTGCTACTCGCAGCGTGGGTGTCTCTCTCAGGTAGCTCTTATGGCTCCTTAATTCCAGCATCTCAGAGCTGCGGTATTGCAGGAGCTGAGGAGGGGCTGGGGGCTCAGGGAGCAGAAGGACCGCAGGCTGAGATGCCCCGGGGGATGCTGTGCCCCTCGTGCAGGCACTCAAGACTGAATCTCTCTTCCGGATCCTCAGATGTTTTGAAGATGTTTGCCATCCCTCACACGTTACCCTTATGCTGTCCTGAGTGAAATATTACCGCTGCAGTACTACAGATGGGAAACTGAGGCATAGGAGAAGCACGGGTTGTGTTCTGAGAGGTCTGCAGGCAGCTTGCAGGCAGGGACTGCAATAGACACTGGGCACACTGGGATCTTTTGCCCATAGCTATGCAGGGATGGATGTCAGGTCTTCTGACTTGAAGGCCTTTGGTCTAACTACTGGAACATCCTTAAATTCTGGGGGAAAAGGGCAAAATTTAGTCTCCAGAATGTAAAGGTGATAATTTTCTCCAACAGTTATTAAGAAAACCTATTCTAGAAATAATAAAGTGATTTCCCTTGTGGTAGGCTGTTTGGTATCCAGCAGAGAAGGAGGAGGTTGCTCATCTGGCTCAGCAAAGTCGCGTGTACTGAGAATAAAGGGCTGAGAAGCTGCAGCGTTTGGCTGCTCTCAGAGTTCTGATCAACCGGGGAATTCCTCAAACAAGAATGCATGCGGGTAAAAGCTGCCACCATCCCAGCTCCGTGCCAGTGCTGTTTCCAGCCCTACAGGGAGAGAAGGCTTTGAAAAGATTTTGAAAAATAATAGTTCTTACTAATGAAAACCTTCAGATCTTGGAGCTGCCTCAAAACGACGGTCTGATCCAACGTCGAGGCGAGTCCATGCAGACTCCTGCCTGCTCTCTGGAGAGTCTGATAACTCAAAGAAGTGCCAGTGAAATTCTCAGCATTGCCAGATTATTAGTGTCAGCTCCAATATGTCAACACGCAGCATCCCTGCACCTCATCAATATTGCCTGAGATCCTGCTGATATCAGGCTTGCAAACCTGTATTATCTGACCCACCACTCCTGCAATTTATTGCTGAAGGATGCGGCTGATTTGGAAACTTCCAGTCACGCCAGTCGCCGGTGTGGCATGCAGGACAATTTCAGTCTGCATTAAGCATATGAAAAATGGGGAAGCTGAAGTTAGGCCGTTTTTTGTTCAGTTCACATTCCTCCTGGATCTGCCGTCTCAGCACTCACAGTGCTGTTAAACCCCTGTGACACACTCCGAAACCACTGCCCTCCTCACCCAGCTGGATCGCATTTGCTGCCTTTAAGCCTGCTAGCCTGAATAGAGCACTCAGATGGAGAAGGAGCACTTAGATGAAATAGCAGATCAACATTAATGGAGACCTTCCTCCACAGATTAAAAAAAAAGGAAAATAGCAGAGGTGATAGATGATACGATAGAGTCTATGAAATGACTATTTGATACCGCGACGGTATGAAGAGTGAATAATTTATCCATCTGCTTTGAAAGCCAAAGCCCAGGCTCTGTAGGCAGTAAAACAGCACTGAAGTCCAACCAGATTAATTGTAAATACAGTTTCAGTCTTGATTTCTCTTATATCTTAAGCTACAACACTTGATCCCAACACAAGCAGGTTGAACGCATTAGGAAGGAATGTTATTGTATAAGCAATCTCTCTACTGGCTGAAACATCAGAGGGTCATGGAAACATCTTTGAATGTCACTCCTTTGTGAATATATTTTTGGAATTTTGGTCATAAAACTGGGCTGGAATGCTCATGGATGCAGTCTGGACGCTGATAATCAATCATGCAGTCAAAAGCCCATGACTGGCACGCATGGCATTATGTCTGTGCCAATGGCAAAAGCACGCGTGGCTTTGAGTGTTGCATAAAGCAGCAGGGCTGTTTTCACAGGAGAGAATGAGACAAAACAAGGCAGGTCTTTTTGCAAGAACTCCTTCCGATTAGCAAGCAGAACAGCCAAAGCCAAGGTGAGAGGGCTGTCCCTGCCTTTGAGCTCAGTGACTCCTCTCTGACGGCGTCCTCCTTACTGCCCACGGGAAGAAAGCACAGAGGGCAGCCAGGTCCCTTCACTGGTGCTGAGGGTGAGCAGCTACTTTCCAGGAAAGGAAAAGCCACGGCTCGGTGTCCAGAGGGGCCTCCATCTCAACACGGGGAGCAAAGTGCTGCCTGCCATCCCACATCAGTCCAGCTGCAGACGCGGGGCAGCGATGGGGAGGTTGGAGCCCCGCGGCAGCGGCGGTGCAGGAGGGCTGGGCAGAGCCGCGCGGGGCAGCGCAGATGTGCGGCGCTGAGGCAGATGGGTTTCCACATGCCGAGATTTACGACTTACTGAAAAGCCCCTAGTTTGATGGCTGCTTTTTCATTTCCTACAAATCTAATTACAGGGGAATAGAACTGATTGCGAACATATTTAGAGAAAGGGCTTGTTGCTGTCTTTTTACATTTCCTTTGTAGTATGAAGCCGTATGTTGGTTGAAAACACTCAGACGCTCTCTTGAGAAAACATATCAAATGCCAGCAGGAATGGAATAGCAGAGGAAGGGTCTAACCCTGCACATGCTCCAGATGGCAGCTCTTCCTCCACCCCGCAGCTGCTCGATGGACTGTTCCCCACGACTGCAGACTGCTCACAGACCTGCGTGGCTGCAGAGGACTGCATCCCACAGTCGGAGATGGGAAGCTGATCCTGCTTTTACCCAGAGGTATCCAGGTTATTCTGTATTTTGGGTCAAAAATCAGCCAGATCAGAAAAGCGGAGCAGATCCTACAATTCAAAAGGAGGGCAGAAACTCCCCCCAGAAACAACAGCTGACGTGGAAATGCTGTGGGACACACAAAAAAATAAGGTCTGAATCTGAGTCAGATAGGAAGTCTGCCTATGTCCAGAGATGAACCACAGCGCAGTGAGCTCTGTCCAGACAAAAGCAATTAAAGCAGCTCGTGTCCTAGAACTCACCAGTCACAACATGCACATTGCCCACTTCAACAGTTCCCTTCCACAGCTGTTGAGAAGATTTGAAAGACACCTAAGCATGGGCATGGCCATTGTTATTTAGACTTATTATTCACACCAGAGCAGTAAAACAACATCTTCTGTCAGAAGCAGGGTCCTTTTTGTTGTCATAAAAGTGAAAATCTTGACTCAAAGTGAACCTTTTATGAAGGAAGATACGACAGGCGCACAGAGGTGCTTCGAGCAGGAAGGTTAATAAGCTGCTGCATAACCAGAGCAGCAACAGTGACATTAAAGAGGGACTGCACTGAGCACAGAGCAAAACCTTTGAGCTTGGGGTACAGGACAGGAGCCATACCTGTAGGAAGGGGTGGTTCTGGTCAGGGGGTGCTGCTGCCAGGGATGGGGCTGCTTTCACCACACCAGGGACATTTTCAAATTAGCGGGGAATGGAGGGGAAAAGGTTCCTTGCATTCTAGGTTAAGCAGCAGTTCAGTCCCTGTTTCCTTACAAATGATCTGCCACCTGCTACTAATTTCCTCCTGTGTTACAAAAGCCATTGACTGCCTGAAGGAAAGGGGGAGAAGCTGTTAAGCTGCACTTTGCACAGAGCAAATGAGAACACAAATAGCAGGGGATGTGTGTTTTAATGAGCAGAAGAGGCATCGATCAGCTCACTGCTGCACGTGGGGCTGCTCCCAAAGCACCGCAAGAGCCCGGAGCTGCTGAGGGCTCAGCAGAACGCTGTCCCTTCCCTTGCATAACTGCTGCATGGCCCCCGTGCTCCATAAGGTCTCCTTCACCCTCTGCTCACCTTAAGGGCCGCAGTGTCCTCAGCAGCCTCAGCACCCTCAGCATCCCCAGGATTTTCGTGCCGCTGTCTGACACCATTGAGACGAGGATGTCGATGACGGAGATGAGGACCAGCACCCCATCCAGCACGTTCCAGCTGCTCTTCAGGTAGGCTTTCTCCCCAAAACACAATCCCAGTGCCACCACCTGCCCGAACAACAAGGTGCAACAAATTACAACTTTTGCATCTGATGCTTTTCTCCCAGTTAGCAACCTGCTGAGAATGCATTATTCACAGATATGAGTCTGCAAGTCCATTTGCTTCCCAGTATAGAAGCCTAATTAGACAAATCAGCAAAGTGTTGTATTTCAAGGACTGTACAATAACTCTGCAGATATACCCCACATCGTCCCTTACACCTGCTGCATTTTTAATGCAGCTCAGACACACTGCACAGAAGTGTTGCTAACAACTTCTGCTCTGGCGTATAAAGTTGGATGGTGTTTTATTTCTACAGATTCCTGGAGTACAGGTGCTGAGTGGCTGACCCAAGCAACCATTTACAAGCTTTGCAAACATGGAAACTCCAGAGGCTTTCCACAGAGCAATTGTTCTGCGAGATCATTATGAATTACACAAGAGAGATTTACAGCAATGGGTTTCTGAGTCTCCCACCTCAAACCCAGCGCAATGTTTCAATGTGAGTCTCTGCCTGCTCAGGAAGGCACAGAGCTGCTAAGGTTGTGAGGACAATGGGTTGTTGAAGACAATGGGACTTACATGCATGGCTGATGCTAAGCATGTGCTGGAGAGCTTTGCTGAATAGGGGAGGACTGCTGAATTGAAGCATCCCATAATGGTGTAAATCAAGAGCAACTTCAGTGAGATTGTTTCGATGCAAAATGCGCTCAGCATAAGGCGTGTGGTGGGCATTCGAATATGGTTCAGGAGATGAAAACATTCACCTCCCTCATCGCTGGCAAACCTAGGGGTTTTGCACACCCACTGCAATAAAACATCACTAATATCACACAGGCACGCTTCCCCTCCAGCTTCATTTACCTTAACTGTCATCTCAGTCAGGAAGATCACTGTGAAGATGTAGTTAGAGAGCGTTAGGAAGATCCGTTCCTGTGGAAGAGGAAAGGAGAGACAACGCTTTACACGACGCTTTTAGACAAATGCTGTCAGTGGTTCTGTGCTGCCTGCAGCCGTGTCAGCAGCGCGGGGAGGGGCGGCAGCACCGGGCCCCCTGCCCTCAGAGCCCACTGCAGCCCAGAACCACCACCTGCCCCCGAACTGCCACCTGCCCCCCAGCAGGCACAGGGACATTGGCTGCCCTTGGAACCCCCTTGGCAAATCTCTCTCTGCCCCTCACTGCAGACGTCACCGCACAGTGCAAATATCACCACGCTCCCAATTCCCAGTACATGAAGTCAATGTCAGCGTGGCTGTGCTGCAAGGCCAGCAGGGCCCCGGGAGGCTGCAGCGTGGCTGCCAGGACCTGTCCCGGCTCCACCGAAGCCAGCGGAGCTCTGGAGGCTGCCACCAGCTGAAGCTGCCCCAAAGGGTCGTTCTCCTGCCCAGAGCCATGGGCTGGAGCTGGGCAGGGAGCCCAGCAGCCTCATCTCATCTCCCGGTCCCTGCACTGCCCACCAGACCGTGCAGTTCTCGCTGCCGCTGTGCCGCAATGGCAGCTAGTGATTACAGATGAGACCACGGCCTGGCTCCCTATCTGTAGTTAGCAGAAACCTTTCCTTTTAATGATGATCATTAAATAAATTACACTTCTCCCTAATCCCTAAGCAATCTCTGATTGCCTGCACTGAGAAATGGACAGCAGAAGGTGGAAGTTGGAAGAAAGTGGTGAGCATGCCCGTATGCATACAATTGAACCAGCCCCAGTTCTGCTAATAACAATTTGGGATTTATTTCTACTGCTCCCTACAGAGCAATCCTGTAAGAGAAGCAGATCTCTCGAACAAAATGAGATGCAATTCAAACAGGACAAAACACCTTGGCAACCCTCTCACTTGCCAGATCATGATTTACTGAAAGTGACTCAGGAACCACAGAGCAGTTTGTTTCCATCCTGGGCCCATAATTAATGAGGCCCTGGCCCTGCAGCGTGATTGCAGGAGCTGCGATAGGAACCGTCTTTGCCGGGCACACAAAGGAGTGCTGCAGGGCAGGCGGTGCGTGGGGAAGGACAGGGAACTGCCGGTGGTGCTGGAGATAAAACAACAATAGTGTGGGGGAGAGACGAGGATATTACAGCCCTCCCTGGTGAGCACGTGGCTGTGTTGGAGGATAATCTCTGCAGCCCATGTCGTGCACTCTGAGATGGGGAGTGCGTGTTGGCTGGCAGCAGCATCCCGTTCTGATAAGCCAGCTGAAACTGGGGCAGGGAATGAGACCTTGTGTGAAGCAGCTACAAAATCCACAGCTCAGAGAGGCAAAGGACAATTATTTTAACCAACTGAAGCTAAACTAACTCTGGGTTTCCAGATGAGAGGTCTGTCCCTGTGAGCAGGGCATGGGCACTGCTACTGGCAGCCCTGCTCTTCTCTGCTGCACCCACACCATGGCTCAAGCTCAGCTCCAGCCCTGGATGCCACACTTCAGTTTCATTTTGGCTACAGACTGATACTCCTGGTGCTGCTGGTTGCACCAAGCACTACATTACCAGCCAGGCAAGGGAAGGAATTGTCTGCTCTGCACCACACCACTGCCACTCCACCATGAGCACTGTGTGCAGCTCTGGGTGCCACAGTACAAACAGGATATACAGCTAGGATGGAGTGCCAAAGGAGGGCTGCAGAGATCATGAAGTGTCTAGAGGGGGTTGTTTGGCCTAGAGAAAAGGGGTCTGAAGGGATGCCCCACAGCAGCCTCAGAGCCAGAGCTGGCAGGTCTCATGGGACACGGCAAGGGGCTCAAGGAAGCCCATGGGATCTCCAGGGTGTCCCATCTGGGGAGCAGGGGGTGATTTCCTCCTGCCACGTTGGCTGGCAGGGAGCCCTGCTCTCATCTCACAGCTGCGAGGTGATGCATCGTGGCTGCGTGATAATCAAAGGAAAAAAATGGATGTAGGGGAGGGACCTCTAATTCAGTAAAGAGGACTATGAGGAAAGCTTAAAATAGGCACGGAGCAGCCAAGACTCCGGTTTTGAGGTCTAACATTGAAGATCCATGAAAATGAACAGCCTGACACGCCTACGACAACAAACCGCGATTCTATACGATTGCGATATGAGCAGTCTTTGGAATACATCAGCAAGAGCCCAGCATACATCTCAGCCACAGCCTATGCTAAAATAAAAGAGCAACGGATGGTTCTGCCCCTCTGAGTGATGCTGTGAGGGTCTGGCTTGAAAAATCTCTATACAGTTTATTAAACCAGAATGGTTCAGGGGAATGGAATTACAGTGCACATGTCAATCCAGTTTTTCTTTTGTCACAGCAAAGATGATAGACAAAGGGGAGAGAAAAGTACAAAATGAATGGCTTCCCCTGTTCCCTTCTCACCATCCATACGTGCCCGCGAACAACAGATGGAAGAAATGAAGGTTGAACAGAGAAGGAAACAGAGACAGATGTCGTGCCTGTGCCATGTGTTAAAGCCTTGATCGTACTTGCAGAAATGGGATATTGGATGGGGGGCCTCGATGTGTGGCAGGCCATGAGCTCTGCTCCTGTTCTGTGAACCAGGAGGGCCAGGAGCAGCAGCAGCACGTGGAGCGGGAGGAGGGGAGAAGCCTTCGCTGGCACAGCATCACCCTGTACCTACCCCATACCCACCTCTGCACGGACTCTGGCGGCTCTGCACTTCCAAAAGAAAAGTGTGAGCCCACATGCACAGCAGCAGGGGTTGAACCACACGTGCTGCCTCCACAAAGAACACAAAAAACATTAAACTCAAACTCACAGCACTGTGAGGCTCGATTTTGGGTCGTTCCATCGCGATGGTGATGCAGTTGAGGAAGATGATCACCAAAACGATGTGATCAAACATCTTGTGCGTGATGATTTTATTGCACATCAGACGGAACCTGCCAAGAAACGAGAAAAGAAGACAGCGCACAGACAGGCTGTTAGCACTCAGCTGGTGGGGACAGCACAGCACGCTCCTGCAGCTCCAGCACAGCCAGGGAACTGAGCTCCCTCTTTGCAAAGCAGAAGAGCCACAGTTCTGCAATCCTCTCCCTGGCAGAGCCCCATGCTGCAGGCACATCTGGGTATGAATAGAAAAGGACTCAAGCTGCAAAGATCGATTTCAAATTAGAACCACAGATTTCCAGCCCCAGCAACATTCATGGGGGACTTAGTCTTGCTCAAAGCACGGCAGCTGCTTGCACAGCTCAGACAGGCAGCCAGGTGTGGGTCTGAGCCCTGCCTGCTCCGTGGAGTTCAGCTTTAGCTTATATACAGGAAGAAATGCTTGGATGGAGTCTGGGACAACCTGGTCTGGTGCCTGATTTAGTGGTTAGCAACCCTGCCCATGGCAGAGGGTTGGAGCTGAATGATCTTTCAGGTCCCCTCCAACCCAACCGTTCTGTGATTCTAAGTACCTCCAGTGTAAGGGCTGAGCGCACACGACCGAAGGAACAGAAGCTATTTATGGTGACAGATGGTTGTACACTGACCCAGGATTTATAATACCATATTACATTCCCCTAAGTCTGTTTCTGAAAATCTCTCTAATCTCTGTATGAATGAACCCAAAGGCTGCCCAGGGCCCATCAGCTCAAATGCAGGAAACTCTCATTATGTGTGGGCAGTATCCAGAGAATGGGTTTGGGATCTTGGAGCCCACGGCTGGGCTTTAGGAAGGGCAGTGCTCAGGTCCACGGGGTGAGAAGAGAGAGAAAAGGCAGGACAGAGAAGTCTGCATTGAGAGGAGGTTTTGGCAGGGCAAGGAGGATCCTTTGTGTTCTAAGTGTGCACTGACTGTGTGCAAAGTTAGATTTCTCTGAGGCATCAGTGCCCAGCACACCCTGCCACACAAGCTGCCTTACCTGGAATGAGGAGCAAAGACATAGATGGACCAGGAGTCCCTCTCCTTGCAGCAGGTGGGGAGACGTGCCCGCACCCAGGCCTTCATGCGGTCCCTTTTGCTCTAGGAGGAAAACGGAGAACAAAGATGTACCAGGAGGAAAAGCAGAGAGAAGAGTTAATGCCCCCAGATCTCCCAAGCAAAGGACTCAGGGAAATTTTTAACTAAACAAATATCCCCAGCCACTCAGTAAAACCAAAGGAAAACAGCCTTCCCCTAAAGGACCTGTAGGATTAGGGTTAGAGCAGTGCTGGTGCCATGAACCCCCATGGTCACATCTTCCTGCCTGCTGTGCACAGTGCATCCAGCACGTGGCAACCTAAAGGGATGGAGATGGCAAGTAAAACCCTCATCCAAGAGGACCCACAACCTGCTCAGCTCAGCCACAGACCCTCTGGCTTCTCAGCAGATGCTTACCTGAATCTTCTGAGGTGTTCCTGCTGCTTGCTGGGCCAAGCCCTATGTCTACACACCACTGGAAAGCCAAAGAAACCATTTGGAAGCTGCATTTCAGTGCAGGAACACAATGGCAAGCATCTGCCTCTCATCCAGCATGACCAAATCAGGCCATGGATTATGAAGGCAGAAGGGAACATCGTGGCCTGTCTGACCTCCTGGCTGAGCACTGGTCATCCAACTCCCCTGAATTAATTCCTCCTTGAAACCACAGTGCACCCCCAGCCACACATATTTGAGACCATTGGCAAGGTTGTTTAAGGGCAGGAGGGCAGACTGTAATGCTTTGGCCAACAGATCAAGTGGAAGACAAGAACATCCAGCGCCGAGGAAACGCCTGGTCCAGGCTGCAGCAGCCTCAGGGTTAGGTCTTCTCACCTTGGGTGTCCAAAGGGAGGCCAGGAGGTGAACCCACAGAGCAGTCATGCAGCGTCACTGCAGCATTTCGTGTTCACGGACAACTTAAAATGAGTTCTTGCTCATTCATTACCCCTATTTCCCCACTCCCACATATGATGCCCAAGGAGCAGGGCTCCAGAACTGCATGTGCTTCATCTTGGAAATGGGGAAGGGGGGATTCTGTCCTCACTTGGAGTCAAACTGTTAGCAATTTGAGGTACTCTGGACTTAAAAATGGGATTTGTTAGGGTAATTGAGTGGAATGGAGGCAACACTTTTTGCTAGTGTATGCACTCAGCCAGGGGTCTCATTAGCGATGGGTAATTGCTAGTATAGTGCCCACCTTAATGAAAGCACTTGGTGACAACCTGAACTCTTCGTGGAATGAAAACAAGGTTGTGAAAATAAAAGGAGAGGTCTGAGGAACAAACCAGCTGGGTTTTCCTATCACCTTCCTTCAGCTCCTCATCATTTCCCCCCTTTCCAGCCAGCACACCCCAAGCACAGCACACCAGTGGTTCTGGCCGCATTAGGGCTGTTTGTACATTCTTTTTCCAACTCCAGACAAGGAGGCAGAACTGCTCCCCTTACTCTGAACTATATTTAATAGAGCACGCATCCTGGGGCTGTGCTGTCCCTCCCAGCAGCCCGCTCCGCTGAATTATCCATAGATGTAACAAAAGGAAATAAATGGATCAACTCTGATGTCTGCTCCAAGTCGCAGGCAGAGCAGGGATTGCTGCCCCAGGACACGGAGCATCGCTGCGGCTCCGTCCGGTTCATTTTGCAAGCTGGAAGCTTTCCAGGAGTATCCAGTATTCAAAGCAGTTCTGGTATTTATCATGGGGATTTGTAGTGAATGGTAATGCGTCAGCAGCACAGAATGCTTCTTTCTATTCCTTTTGTCCAATTCTAATGCCAAGGATATTTTGGGGTTTGTCTAATTGTTGCAGCTCGCAGTTCATGGGCTCAGTCAGATAACAAAGGCAGAAAGCGATCTTCCATCGCAGCCCCACTCGGCGTGTCAGCACGAGGGCAGCACAGCGCTGCTCTGAGGGGCCAAGAGCTGTCCCAGAGCACAGCCACGGGAATCTGAAGCAGAGGAATGACTCCACATTTCCACGGGTGGAAGGGCACGGTCTGAATATCTGTGCCAAATGCAAGATGTTTGCAAAATGAAAAGCGAGCGCTTCCAGCCCAAGTCCCATCAAACGCTTCCTCTGCAAGGTCCAGACACACATCCACGGCGCACAATCAGCCTGATTGCTGCTCAAGCCTGCATTATGCTCCCAGCCATATATCAATTATGTTATTTAAATCATATCTATTTGTCCATAAAACACACCTGGACAGGATGAATGAAGACTGAGCGGGGGGGGGTCGGGGAGAAGAAACTGCTCTTTAATTTGCCTGCTGGTGGCTTCACCAAAGCCCCAATGGCTGCCACCGGCTGCCCCCCCTCTGCACAGCGGGATGCAGAGATGTTGGCTGCCTTTGCCCCATAGCACAGCCCCCCCGGCCCCTGCTAAGGAGAGCTGCTGATAAATAGCTTCTTTTTTTAGAACTTCCAGATATTAATGTAGTTCTGAGGGCAGGATGAAAGGCAGCTGGCATTAAAGGATGACTGATGCACTCCTTGGAGTAAGGGAGAGGGTTAGATTTATAAAAGATTTATTATAAGGATAGGGGGAACTGCTGAAAAACACTTTATGAGCAGCAACAGACCTCCAGGCAAGCTCGAAGCTGCACAGAGGCGCTCAGGACCTGATTATTTTGTTTTAACTGTGCAGCAGGGGCAGGCTGGGGTGGTCTGGGAGAGCGGTAGAAAGGCACAGGAAAAAGTGCAATAGCCAGAGAGCATCAGAGCTGCGACTGCAATGGGGATTTTGCCCCTGGGAGGAGGGGACACATTGGGTGCTCTCCTCAATCCCACGCTGAGCACTCAGCATTTGGGTTTTTCTTCCCTTTCCAGAGTACAGAAGTTTTGCAGCTGGCACAAGCAGGGACTGATAACACAGCCCAGGTCAGCAGACCCCCCAGCACAGACCCACAGCCCCGGGTCCTGCCGTGCGAACCCAGCAGGCAGCGGATCTCAGCTCAGTGAGGTACAGGTCTGTGCCTGGGTGGGTTTGTGTTGCTGATCTCCCTGACTACATTGGTTCCATGAAGAACAGATTTTATTCCCCTGGGTTTTTTTTGTACTTCAGGGGAGAAGAGCAGGCAGGGCCTGATCCTGAGCAGTGGAAATTCCAGATAACCTCTGTGAGGAGAGCAGCACTAATGTAACGGGAGCCTGGGAGATCCAAAGGCAGCCTTCGCACTGCCTTTATTTCTGTGTGGCAGCAATCAAAACCATCCAGCAAGGAGAGCTTGTTAAGTTTTGTTGCAGAAGGGCATATTTAGGACTGCTTTGATCTGAATAACAGTTGAGTTCTTTTTTCTTCCATTGGTAAGGGAGTTCTAATTTATTTTTTTCAATTTAACCAAATAATGACATTTTTTTTCTGACTCTGCCAAGGCTCACAGAAGGGCTAAGAAAACCCCAAAATGTCAGGGGAAAATCATAAAGGAAAGCTCCTCAACCCGGAGAGCCATTTCACCAATCTCAGCAATATTTTCTGATCCATGTGCTGCAGTGATTCGCAGTGAGTTCGCATCTCGGGGCACAGAGAGAGGCAGCTGCCAGCTGAGGACATCCCAGCAGACGCAGCGGGGCAGGGCGTGCTCTGTAACCCTGCCTTGCCTGCCCTTTCCCCACGCTTTGAGCTCCATGCAAGAAAATTCAAGGCCCTTTGGTCTAACCCTGCCTGGTCAGAGCCCAGCACACGGAAAGAAGACATTTGGTTTCCACTAAAAACAGCCGCCGTAATAAAGATGAAAAATGTGCATCTGATTGAGCAGCGCACGGGGAGCCGTGGGCAGGGGCAGGAGGGACGTGTCCCACCATGAGCTGCCCAATGCGACTGAGCTGCCGAGGAAAGGAGGGGAGCCACAGAGCACGTGAACCCAGAAATCAGCACACGCTGCCATCCCCAGCCAGCTATGAAGAGTGTGGTCCCTTGATCACTTGTAATAGTGTTTTTTCCAAAAATAATTACCACTCCTATTCTTAAAAATTCAATTTGTTTTATGGAGGTTAAAAACCGGGTTAAGACAATCAGTAAAAATCCCAGGCTGAGGATCCATGCTGGAGATGTAATGGGATAATGGCTTGTTTTAAAGGCGATTTACGGCTGAGCGACTCTATTCTGCCAGCACAAGCTCTCTTTCTCCTCCTGGTTGCTCTCTGGAGTCACCGCTGCCTTTCGCATTCTTTCACATGCTCCAAATCCCATTTTCATTCAACAAACTCAGTGAAATACAGTAAAATCATGCCCAAAAGCTACGGCCCTCATTACTGCCCCGGTTACCGTCACGTGGCTGTACCCAAAACCCATCAGCAACCCCTCAAACATTCCATCCGACCGCTGCATCTTTCAACCCACAGAACAAGGAGAGAACCTTCAAGAATTGAAAATGCCAAAATGAGCTGTCCTGAGACTCCAACCACACTGCCCCATGTTCCCTGCCTCCCCAGGCTGGGGGCATTTACACCATTTGAGCAGTGGCAGCACATGGCAAGTTATGCGCAATGATTTGAAAGTGCAGATGCAGAGAATATGCAAAGCTGGAGATGCTGCTTTACTATCTGGTGCTCTAATCAGCTCAAAATTACAGCTGATTTTTCTCCTCCTGCTGCCATGCTTTTAGCTAACATTTCCTAAATAGCACTTTTCAGGCCTGTGAAAGAGAGACGCTCATGGACTAATGCCTCTTCATATTGAAATTAATGCAAAGCCTTGAAAATGATCACCATCTCTGCAGGACTAATGCCTCCACAGGACTTGTGGGCCAAACCTTGCCTTTGCACTGCCTGTTGATGTCAACAGAGATTGTCTGTTCCTATGGATGGCAGCCGAAACCCAAATACTGGCTGGTGAGCAGGGATGTTTACTTATTAAAAATTAAAAAAGGAAAAAACAGAGCTGTGCAATCATAGAGTAAAATCGTAGAACCCTCAAGATCACCAAGTTCAACCATCAGCCTGACCTACCATCACAAAACCACGTCCTTAGCCCACACACGTCCACTGCCTCCAGAGATGGTGGCCAAGATAGCCACGGCCCCGTGCATTTACCTGGAACCTGATGTGTCCATCCTGAATGCTCTGATACAGCACTGAGACATTTAATGTAATGCCACCACCCAGACTGCTCCTGGTGACCCCAGCAGCAGTGGTGGTGACATTCAGCCCCTGCCTTGGCTGTGGCTTTGTGCCCACCAGCATGCTTCCAAGAGCTACAGATGTCACTCGGATGAGCAAAAAAAGCCCAAACCAAGCATTTAGCACTTCCTTACCATGTTGCCTTCATCATCAGCATCATCGCAGTCTGGCCGAGGGTCGTCCAGGTGGAGCTGATGGACCAGTAGGCCAGGAGAGGTTTTCCCATTGCAGTCCTGGTGCTCGGAGGCAGAGGTGCGACTGCTGTGCATGCTGCTGGTCCGATACAGCGAAGGCACCTGCAGGGTGTCCTGGAGGTCGAAGGAGCCCTTTGCTTCCAGCGACTCCATGCGATGAGGTAAGGAGCCGTTGACGCTGCCGGCCCGGCTGGAATGCTCCTCATCCGAGCTCTCCCCATCCTCTGAGCTCTCCTTGCCCTCCCCGGACAGCAAGGACCTGCGCTCGCCGCTCTGGCCCCGCCGCTTGAGGCTGGGCGCCCGGCCGATGCTGTTCCAGCTGGAGCGGCGGCTGGGCCAGCTGCTGCCAGCACTCCAGGGGCTGTGCGGGGAGCTGCGGGCGCTGGGCTGCGGGACAGGGATGGTGTCAGCCCGTGCCAGCCGCCCCTGCCAGGCCGTTCTCATGGCTTGGGCGGGCAGATGGCACCGCTCAGAGCTGCCACGTGTGCCCCACGAATGTTCGTTGGGCCACCGCAGGATGCACAGGATGTCCTTACCGGGGATTTGAGCTCGTAGGCAGCAGGGTCCATGGAGACGCCACTGGCCCGGCGTGACTCATAGCCCTGCGCTGCATCCCCAAACACGGCGCTCTTGGGCATGGGCATCGGCGTGGCGGCAGTGTGGATGATGAGCGGTGGGGTGAGGCTTTTCTTCAGCTCTGGGTGCTCGCTCAGGGCCATCACTGCAAGACACAAGGCAGGTTTTAGGGTCCCACTGCTGTGGGCATGCACACAGCCTGCCCTTGGGTGGGCAGAGCTGCTGCATAGTATGTGTTTCTCCTCCATGCATCAGGTGGGAGGGAACTAAGAGCCATCTGGGGTTTTGCAACAGCATGGCGGGGAAAAGCAGGATGTTGAGAAGGGGATTGGATACCAACAAAGAGAGCAGATCCCTTATGTATGACCCCTAACCTTCCACCAACACCCACCTGCTCTTCCTCTGCAGACCCCTGCCTGCACTGGGCTCCCTACCTGCTCTCCCTCCTCCTCTTTCCCACACTCTCAGAGCTCCTCTACTTGTGCCCCTGTGAGGACACTCCAATAGAATGGATTTCAGACCTGAATGCCATCACATTTCCCTTGCCTGCAGCTTATGCTCCCAGGCCTGCAGCACAGTCTTCCAGCTGACGGTGTGCTACAGCTGAGATGAAGGCATTGTCCCCAGGGGGGATTTCCCACCCAGGATACGTTGTTTTCACAGCAGAGGGGGTTGTGCAGCAGGGCAGGTGTCCCGGGGTCGTACTCACAAACTGGGTTTGACAAGTTTTTCTTCAGTCCACCTTCCTCTTCCAGGCTGCGGATGAAGAGCTCGCCCTCTGAGTCAGATTTGGACGCATCCCCCTGCAGCAAACAGAGCGCTTCAGCCGGGGGGGGTGAGGGGCTGCCCGCACAAACGCCCCTCGAACACACGGGACCGCACTGCCAACACCACACCTACAGATCCACCGAGCTGTGTACCACGATGCAACACCACCTTTCACAAAATGAGGCATGCACATATTTATACCACAGACTAATTAACCTCCTACCAGGAAGACTGGCTGCCTCTGATTCCAAAAGCAGCCCCAGAACGGGATCAGGGAAATAAAAAATAAAAAATTCACTGCTTCTGTTTTCGTGCTGTGAGAACTGCACACCGATGTCAGGGAAAGATGAGCAACGTCTGGACAAAAGCTGACCCTACTCATCTCTCCCAATTTATACACCATGGCTTGAAACTCCCCAGGTGTGGGCAATCCCGCGGCTTCCCGGTGATGCTTAAAGAAGCCACCAAGGACTCAGGACGCTGACTTTGCAATGCAGCCATGGACACATGGTTTATGGAAGCCCCAGTTGTGCAGAGAGGATCCAATGTCTGCCCCTGGGTGGCCAGCAGGTCCGGCTGCAACACAACAAAGGTTTGGAGGATTTAGATGAATTTTGAATCCTGAGAGCTGCTGAGAACCGAGGCTCAGCCCCTGCAGAAGGGCTGAGGTTTACCACGGCTCACAGTGTGCTCACTCCATCTCGCGGCACGCACCCAGTGAGAGACTTCCCTGCACGCTTCTGTCCATTGGCACTGCAGAAAGGTGCTTAGGGTGTGGTATAGTGAGCATCCATCCGGCAGGAAAAGGTGCTCGCCAGAACCATGCCAATCCACCAGAGGAGGATTTGGGGCTAAAAATGCTTTTCTGGCAAACGGCACCAAACCCCAGCGTGATGCACATTGGGAGGGAGGAGAGGAGGGGAGGGAAGGAGGGAGGGTGCTGGGGTGGAAGCCAAGCAAAGTCTCCCTTAGCTGGAAGGAACCAGGAGCCCAGAACCCCAGCAAGACCAAGCTGTCCCCGGTGCCCCATGGAGGTTTGGTGCTCGGGTGCCGGGAAGTGGGAAAACCCAGCGGGGTCCCAGCCTGCAGGAAAGCACAGCAACTCAGGGCTGCATTTCTGGAATGCTCTGCAACAGCCCAGAGGAAAGTATGAGGGCGCACAGCATGTGCAGAGATGGGAAAGCGGAGCTGCACAGGGACTCCCCCAGCACCAAACCCCACATCTGGGAGCAGAAGCATCTCCTGCAAGCAGTGAGTGCCAGCCCCAGCGCGCTGCCCATTACCTGCTCCTGCACTCCCAGCTTGCCTTTCTGGATAGAAAAGGGGTTGTGAGAGAAGAGGGAGTTACAATCCTTCTGGGAAAGAAGGGCATGTCCAGAGGGACCCCAGGGCACAGCAGCTCTGCCAGTGTGTACCCGAGATGACGGGATACATTCAGATATGGCAGGAAAGGATTTTGCGCTGAAGGAAGAGCCAGACTTCTCGGAGAGGGCAGAAGGGGAAGGTAGTGGTGAAGAGAAACACGCAGCCGGCACCTGAGTAAGGCTTGGAGTGTGCTGCGCTTGTGGGATGCGCAGTGTCCTCAGCCCCCTGCACATCCCAACCCCACATCTCAACCCTCATCTTGGGATGCTCAGTGTCTCTGACTGACCTCACCACACAGAGCACGGGGCTCTCGCACGCTCCAACTTGATTCCAGGTCCCTTCAGTGCCCCATGTGGGATGCAGAGAGCAGACGTGCCTGAGGACCAGCAGCACTGCCTGACCAGCATGGGTGTGAGTACACTGCTACGGTCCCACCTGCTGCAAGCCCCCTGGGTGAGCTCACCTCACTGCAATGCTGCACAGAGAGCTGAGTCCAGAGCCACCTGCTCCCCAGAGCACCCACCTTCGTTCCTCCAGCTCCCCCAGAGAAGGAAGGGGCTTAAAACTGAGGCTGACTCAACAGTGAGGACAACAAAAAGAAAAGAATGACATCCCAACAATCCCTGACAGCACGACAGCAACAACGATGAGGACGGCAGCAGGTGTGTGACCAGGCACCACGAGGAACACAACCATGGGGTGTGGGAGGCTCATGCGTGGCCGTACGTACCGCCGCCGAGTCGCCCGGCAGCTGAATACAGCTCAGCTGCCCCCCGGCATCTTCCCGCTTGGAGATCTCCTGAAGGAGAAACAGGGCAGGGAGGGGGGAGGAAGGGGAAGGAGGGTTCAATTTTCACACTTTTGACAGCAGAAATGAGAGGGAAGTAAAAAAAAAAAACACAACACGAGGAGAGGCAGGGAGGGGACGGGGAAAGGCGGATGGAGAAGGGCGGCGTGCGGCCACGATGGAGAGCCGGGGAGCAGCCCCGAAGAGGCCAGCCTTACCTTTAAATTAAGTGTTTCAGACAGAGAGCTTGATGCAGCTCCGAAGTGATAATTGCGCTAATGAAACACCAGCTAATTATCGAAAACACGATTTCTTCTTTTCTTTTTGCAGCTGCATACTGGGATCTTTATTTATTATGCCATCATTAGGCAGCAGCGGAGGCTTCTAATGAATGTTTGATTAACACAACATCAGCCCTCTCACAGCCAGGTGAAACACCTCCAGCACCTCTTCTCAGCGCCACGACTTGGTGCCTCCTGACCCACTGGAGAAGCAGCAGCACTCGTGGCCCTTTGCTCACCAGCATGGGTGGGATGCGTGGCCCTGGGCACGCTCACTGCTCGCCCTCACTGCTCTTTGGGGGCATGGCAGCAGTGCTCCTGACTGCAACCCACAGATGGGGAATTTGCCCTGCTCCCAGCTGGGATGAAGAGTTTAAGAAAGACTGAATCCTTGGAGTTTTCTACAATTCTCTGATCGGTTCAGGGGTCTGAGTGGGACATGGGGTCTTGCTAGCCATGGACACTTAATTTAAAGTCTTTGACTGTAAGAGAGAAAGAGGAGGAAAAGCCATCAAAAGAAACCACGGAAACACTTTTCCTTCACAAAGACAATCCCAATGTAACCGATAGGGGTGCAAAAGATACAGGATGTAACAAAAACACCATTCAAAAATCTTCACATGGGGAAAATGGACTTCAGCCCTTTGGTTGAAGTCCAAGTCCTGCTTTCTGCAGGTTCTGCCACTGCAGCCAGAGCAGTGCAACACCACGCAGGGTGAGCAGGGGGTTGGGGGGGGCCCGGGGCACCAGGGAGCAATTAGGGCACAAGGGAAAGGGGCAGAGCTGGAGTGAGGGCGAGGCAAGAGGAAACTGGGAGGATCACCAATGGAAGAATATGCTTTGGAGAGAACGTTGTCAGGGAGTCCCTCGTGAGAGGAGCTTTGTGTCTGACAGAGAGGAGCCATTGTTAGCTTCAGAGAGAAATCCCCAGGGCAGAGACCTGCGCTCAGGCAGCGATTTCAAATGAGCAGCTCCATCAAATGGGGTCCCCTGCTCACCTTCCCCGCACAAACGCCCGGCCTGAGCTCAATCAGAGAATGTGCACCCAAAAATAGCCGCGCTGCGTCACGTCCTGAGCATGCCTCCTGCAGCAGGGGAGCAGGTTACAAAAAAAAAGAAAACGGGGAGAAAATCAACTCGGCAAAATATATTGCTCCATATTCAAAGTTTGGAACAGCTCCTTCTTCTTTCCCGATTGCTTATATACATCTGCTGCCTAGCAACAGGGGCTGCAAAGCCGTGCACTAAAATTAACGAGGTGCTTGCAGATTGAGGAAAGGCAGTCAAGGACTGGGGAGATAAAGGCAGCCGCCCTGAGATTGTGTTTCAGCCTGGAAAGCTGAAGGAGAATGGAAAAACACCTCGCTCAGAGGAAGGGTTGAGTGCAAGGGCTGGAGAGGGACAAGGGGTTTGTTTACAGGGAGAGATGATCTCTCTATTAATGTTGCTGAGGAGAGGATCCTCCGTGCTCTCTCTATTAAGCCCAGAAAGAGAGGTGTGTGGGAGCTGCAGAGCTGCAGGGATGCAGAGCGCTGAGGTCCGGGTGCTGTGGCTGTGCTGGATCCCACCCCTGGGCTCCTGGCCCCAGCAGCTCCCGCTCAGCTCCCTCTTTCACACGTTCCCATTTACCGGAGAGCGCTGAGAGCTCAGAATAACAAGGATGTGGAAAGAAGATGATTAGTAAAACACCTCTCTAAAAGCCTGAGATACGAAACAGCACTGTAAGCAAAGTGGTTAATTGCACGAATCAGGTGCAAGGCCATCAAAACCACAGTGGTTGGGCAGAGCTATTGCCCAAGGGGCAGAGAAGGCTCCGGGCTTTGGAGGCTGTGCTGGGTCGTGGTCCCAGTGCTCCGTGCTCGCCTCTCGATGCCGGCTCAGCAGAGATGTACCCGTAAAGCTGCGCTCATGGGAACAAAACCGCAGCGCGTTGCGGTGAATGACAGCGAGCGGTGCTGCGGTGCCAGCTGGCTGCAAGCGAGCGGGGGAAATCGCTGCCAGCCAGAAGCAAGCGGAGTGCCATGTGCTCCAGCACCAAACGGGCGGCGGGGCTGGGGGGGTCACCTCCCCTGGGGACAGTGGGGTGAGGAAGGGGTGGCTGCACAGCAGGGCTGAGCCTTGGGCGAGACACGGGGCTCTGCCACCCAGGCGACCTTCAGAGAATCAATTTGCTTGGCTGAACAGACAAAGGTTTGGTTTCAAAGCCGTCATCCCTCTGCAAGCAGCCAAGGAGCTTCTACCTCTTCTCACTCTGGCAAAGGAAGACTGAGCTATGGAAGAGAACCTGGCGGTGACCTTCCCTTCGGGCTGAATGGTGGGGGGCGGTACAGAGAGAAACGGCCACAGCAGTAACAATTAAACAAGAAAACACCGACACAGAGAGAGACGATACAGAAAAATGAGAGAATTTCTTCTAGCTATCTCCTGGTACGATTCCATTAACGTAACTCTAGATTGCACTGCAAAAATAATAACAATAATAAAAATAAATATGGTTCTGTGCATAGCTGTTCCCAGGCTGGTAGGATATTAGTACACACGGCAACAAATCTTAAATAATATTCCTCTGCTCCGGCTCGCTTATCAACAGCAGAGACAGTATGCAAAAGCGCAGGCATAGAAGCAGTCCCAGCAAACAGCTTTGGGCTGCTGCTCCCCCTCTGGTCCCCAGCAGGATGCAGCCCCCCATCCCTCCGCACACTGGGAAACTCCTGTGGGGTGGGTGGGCTCCGCAGGTCCCCGTTTTGGGGTGCAGCTCCCAGCTGGGCAGCTCAGACACAGAAATCACAGCTCCACGCTAACCCCCCAACCTTCCCCAAAGCCCACAGCACCCTGGGTGCCGTATGGAGCTGGCAGGGATGAGGACCAGGTGCCTTAAAATGGAGGCCATTGAGGTGCTGGAAGCAGGAGGAGCTCCACGAGCACGCACTGCCAAAGAAGTTAATCATGCTCCTAATCTCCCAGCAGCCTGCGTAAATTTTCAGGAAGGGTTTTAATCTGGCTCACAAACATGGAGAGAACTGTTTCAAAGGCACTGTCATAGCAGTTATCCCATCTGCAGTGCCTGACTCACCGCTGAGTTCTCCCTTCTGCATTAATGCTAACAATGCTTTTCATTTAAGCCCTTCATTTAAAGGACTTGCTGTATTAAACTGTGCCTCGGTTGAGCAGAAAGGAGGAAAAAAAAAAAAAAAAAAGACCTCATATTTTTCCCCACTTCTTTTCATGTAGCACTCTGGTAAATGTGCTGCTGCCCACTTCAGAAATCGCATTCCTGCTGCAGGTCTGCAGGCTCTGAAACATTCAAAGCCAACAAAGGCGCGAGTGAGAGAACATTACCTCCGTCTGGAAGCCCTCCACCAGGATGGCCACCAGCAGGTTGAAGAGAACGTAATTCCCAAACGTCATGAGGGCAATGAAGTAGAGTGCTGCCCAGGAGGAGGTGGATGCCATGCCGTTGTAGAGGACCTTGTTCCAGTCTTCCTGGGTCAAAATCTGCAGAGAAAATGCCTCAGGAGCATTTTGTCAGACAGAGAGCAGCACGTTGGCATCTGCTCTGGGTGAGCTGTCTGCAGGCAAGCATCCCAGCTTTGGACATGACCCCTAGCTGTAAGTAACGTCCATATTTCAATGCCTCTGCAACAGGAGCTCCAACGAGCCGTGCCGCAGCCGCCCCACCCCCACAGCCCCGGAGGGCAACAGGTCGGGCTGCTCTCTGCTCAGTACCTGGAAAACGGTGACGATGGCCCAGAGCAAGGAGTCGAAGTTCTTCCTGTCGGGCAGAGTGTCGCCGTCCCGCTCGGAAGCAAACTTGCAGCCAAAGAGGTGCATCCCCAGAATGCTGCGAGGAGAGCGCAGTGCTGAGCCGGGGCTGCACCGCAGCGCTGCCCCCCAGCTGCAGCAGGGCCCTTCCATCCCATCTTTTGAAAGATGAGTCATTCCTTCACTGAAAAGCACTCCTAGAGAACGTGCAAACTGAGAGTGAATTTGGGTCAAATCTGTCGCGCGGCTTCGGAAAGCGAGCCCGCTCCTTCCTTTTCCTTTCCTTTGTGTTTTGTCAGTCACAACATTTTGTTTCAGCTCTTTCTAAACAAAATGTTTTGACTTTCCGCTTTGCGATGACACAGTTTTCAGCAAAACATGCTTAAACTGAACGGGGAAGACAAAAAGGGTTCCTGCGAATTTCTGAATGGAGCATATCAGGGGGATCACCACATCTCTTCCAATTTTGACATGAAAACAGAATACCTTTCATTTCAGATTGATGCTAAGGGAATAATTTGTCTTCCCCCGCTCTCGGCCAGTAACCTGCATAATCACATTATTCACAGCTCTGTTCAGCATCGTGGCAGCAAACAGTGCTTCAGAGCAAAATGCTTCACTGGGAAAAGGATCATTACTGCACAGAGCAGCTTTCATCAGCCTTCCAGCACTGGGACACTGGAGGAGTGGATGTTACCCAGCCTTGAGTTGAAATCCAGACCCAAATCCAGAATTCTGGGGCTACCCCAAACCTGTTTCTAGCATTCCCACTGCAGAACTTTACTTCTCTGAGGAGGCCGTGCCAGAGCACGAGCACCACTTCTGCTGCCTTTATTTTAGCAACATTGCCCTCTTCCTTAACAATATTCTCAGCATCAGGCTCATCCACGTGTAATGGGACAGATGTCTCAGGGTGGTGTCAAGGAATCATCCAGATGAAGGATTTTCCTTGCAAATCATCTCACAAAGACAGATGTCTGATTTGGCCAGAATTAAAAGAAGATTGGCATCAAACCACTGCCAGTGCTGCTCTGGGACTCTGAGCTCAGAAACGCCCCAGCACGGTCCCCTCACATCCCACAGGATCCCACTGAACACCCTGGAACGCAGAGCTCTCACCAAGCACCCACCTAAATATGAAGATGAAGAGCATCAGCAGCATGCAGAAGGTGGCCACGTTGTCCATGGTCTTCATGAGGACAACAAGCTGCCGCTGCAGGGCCGGCATGAAGCGCACCAGCTTCAGAACCCGCATGAGCCGGAAGGTCCGCAGCACCGAGAGCCCCCCGCCTTGCTGCCCCACGATCTCCCACACGCTGAGAGGAAAAGAGTTCGTTGTGGGATGGGCAGAGAACACCTGGCACGGAGGCATGGGGAGAAGAAGCAAAGGAGAGGGGGGAATTCGGAGGGAAGAGAGATGGGGAGTGGGAGACCCTCCACAGGCAGAGAGGAGCTGCCAGTGCCTCCTGGAGCTGAACCCCACCAGGGCCAGAAGCCCTCAGCTGCAACCACAGTTCTGTATGTGCCCAAAAGCAGTTATTTAACCGGGCACTGGTTGTGCCATTTGGGTCACAGACTCTCCCAAAACGGATACCTTTCTGCATGGGCTTCTCTCTGAAACGACCAGAAAATAACCTCGAAACATCTATTAGCAATTGTGTCTGATTGTGTTAACTTACAGCAGAGAGAAGCACCATAGGGAGGCAGTTCTGCCCACTCACCATTACGTTCCATTTTAATGGGCTAGCCAAATGAAGGGAAACGTGCGTAAAGAAAGCTCTAGGTTTGTACCTAATCACCACGATGATCCCATCAAAGATGTTGTATGGGTTCTTAATGTAGCCAAAGGGGCCGTAAACGAGGACTTTGAGCAGCATCTCCAGGGCAAAGAGGCTCGTGAAGACGATGTTGCTGATCTCCAAGGCGTTGGTGAGCTCCTCCGGCTGGAAAAGAAGGGATGGAATGGTTTGTTGTCCATCTGGAAAATACACCTGGAAATACAGCCAGCCCAAATTGCACAAGTGGAGGAACATGAGGCTGATGGTAGCGGGACAACGTGGCAATAGCTCACTTGAAGCCCAGGAGAGAGAAGGAAAACACCATTAGATTTGTCATGTTTATACATCCGTTGGAAACTGAGGAAGTAAATCCAGACGTGGGCTTTGCATACATCGCAGCGTTAGCAGTAGGTTTATGTCAAAGCGTCATGAACCAAAAGATTTAAGCTAAACCTTTCTAGAGCAGAGGCTTTGGGTGCTGTAACAGAAATACCTCCAAAAAAACTCACTATCAGGAGACCTGAACTACTGCAGAAGGGCCCAATCCCAGCATTTCAGTCAGGCAACCTAAAAATAGAAAAAGAACAGCAAACTGACTTCCAGCAATCTTGGACCTAAATTAATGCCTTTTGTGTTTCTCTGACACACTTCACAGAGGGTTCCCAACAATGCCTGCAGACACCAAGCGCTGCGCTTTCCATGGCAGGTGGGCGGGCATAATTGGAAAACATATGGCAGGAGACAAAAGCAGTGCTGTAGTCTGCTTGGGATCAGACTTCACCACCAGCATCATCAGGAGGAGATCTCAACCCAAAGCCCTTTTCCCCATTTAACGCCAAAGCACAGCCACAAACACAGCACAGCCAGGGGGCCACACAAGCTGCAGGTCCCAGCCCCAGCAGGCACTGTGGGAGCCCAAAGGCTTGGCGTCACCGTCCTGCCCAGAGCATCATCAGCTCTGATTCAGAGACAGGAGAAACCAAAGGTTTTATGGCTATGTGCCGTCTATAAACAGTTAAATCCCCATGGACTTCCACTCCCTGCTGTTTCTGTGTGTTGAAGTCTCCAGGCACAGCTGGCCGAGCCTGTTGAGCTCGAGTTCCTCCACCCCAATGCGGTGGCAGCTGGGGACTCAAACTGCTCTGACGTTATCTCAGCAGTGCAGCAGTCCCAGAGGACCTGCAGAGGTCCTGGTGGGACTTTGTGATGACAAAGCAGCAGTCCCCAGGTGGCAGAGCAGGAAACGGCAGCATCAACAGAGAAAAATAATTGAAAAGGAAAAAAGGGAGATTTGAATGCTTCCTGCACCTCAGACACCCTGGTGGATGAGCATCCCCTTGGCTAGCATCTGCCAATCACACACCTGACATGACCTAGAGCCAACGCCTCGGCTCCCAGTATTAAACACAGTGCTGGTTTAACATCCCGTCCCTATGGGAATAACTCAGACACGAAGCAACAAACAGGCTGGGAACCCATACACCAAGCTGCACCTCAGGACAATTTTAAACAGCTGAAAGTCTACATCGGTCCCCAAAAATGCCAGCTCACAAAGAAGTGCCCCCGTGCCGCAGCAGCAGAGCTCTCAGCACTGCAGCAGCAGTGCTGCAGGGAAGGCAGCGTGCTCCTGGCACAGCCCTGTGGAGCCCCGCTGCTGCCTGCCATGTGCCCACCAGCAGCCCCTCCTCCCTACTGGGCTGTACCCAGAAAGCCACCTGCCCTCTGCTGCTGCTCCATGTGATCTTTCCCATTTCCTTTGCAGGAAAATGATCCAAACACCTGAGATGCTGAGCACACATTGTGAAAGCGGAGCGGGATCTCCTGAAACTAAATGGAGAATTAATAACAAAAACCTGAGATTAATGGTCCAAACAGACTGAAGCAGGCAGGGAAGCCTCCTCTTCCCAGGCAGAAGATGTGCATCCCCAGCACAGCCCAGTGCTGCCACAGGAAAGGAGCATCCCAAAGAATTATTCTGCACTGGGAAACAGCGCGTCCCAAGGCAGCAGATGGGTGCTGTGAGTTACACAGAGGGTTTCCTTGGGGTGCTCCCATGTGGGCAATTCCCATGGCGCGGCTCACGGGGCTCCACATTCCTTCCAAAGGATGCATCACCGCTGTGCCATGAGCGGTGCCTTCACACACCTGGGAATTATCTGCAGGAATGGGGGTGGGCTGTGCTGTGTGCCCGCCTGAGGGGATGCTCACCCTGCAGGGACTCAGAGCCTGGGGGCAACGCCGAAGCCCAGCTATGGGATTCCCAAGGAGCCACATGCACAGATAATGAGGCTGCTCAGAAGGTGCTGCTGCCTTCGGGAAATCACAGGCGTGTCTGAAGCATCCTCCCTTTGGCAGCACTAAAATCCTGCAGGGAAGTGGCTTTTCCATCCAGTGGGAATTAAAACTGTCATTTCAAAGTAGATGGAAGAGTTTCAGATGTGGCCAACTCCAAAGTTCTGAAAGCCCTGCCCTTCATGTCAGCCCCTACTCCCTCATCCATTTGCTCTGTGCTGCAAATTGGAATAGGAAAATATAAATAAGTCAGCCCGAAGAAGAACACGGAAACTTTCGTTCACAAAATGTTCAAACAGATGCTTCAAATATCTCAGATAATGTTTATATATATATATATATAAGTGAAGTCTGCTAATCTCCTCATCAGTAGCAGCAGTCACTAATTACAATGAAAACATCCTATGATTAAATGAGCAGCACCCAGAAGGAGAGAGATGCAGGCATCTCTCCATAAATCCAGAATTGTGTCTCCAGGACACTCTCCCCACTGGACACACAGACGTGGTGCCCTGGATACATCACCCCCTGTTAGCTCTGTGTTTGCACAGTGTCAGTGTGTTGCTGTACAGCACGGCATGTTGATGAGAGCTGGCAGCACATAAAACAGGAAAGCAGCAAACAAACACCGTGCTGCAAAACAACACGTGGGAAGCGGAGCACGGGAGGGGCGAGCTGGGCTGGGGGCATGGGCACACAGAACACCCTGAATTCAGCTGCAGAAGAAAGAAAACATCCATCCCATTCACCTCCCCATGCATGCTTGGGGGAGCACCCCAAGCTCAACCCAGTGCTCACATGGGCGGTGCTCCCCCATCCCCCACAATAGGGTGATGGAATGCTACCAAGCACCCTGGCACACCTTGCAGAGAGCTCAAGAGGCTTTCATTCCTGCCTTCCTCTAGCCATGACAGCAAAATGACCATGCCACAACCCAGGAGCTGGAATCGATGATCCTTAATGGGTCCCTTCTAACTTGGATTATTCTGTGGTTTTGTGGTTCACAATGCCCATCACCACTGGACCTACGCACACAGGGTCCATGTGGGCACACCTGGAGTGGCTGTGCCCTGCCAAGGGGTGTCTGCATCCCACCCAGAAGCACCTGAGTGGCCTAACAACAAAACAGAACACCAAAACCTTCCGTTCCCCAGTGCAAAGGGGTGCCTGGGGGGCAGGGAGGGCCCCACTGAGCCCAGCAGAGAGCATCCAGGACAGCACACAAACTCTGGAGCCGTTCCCCGACTGCGGAACAGAGCCCTCCTGAAAGCATTTCCATGGCAACTAGAGAAAAATACCACAGAAAGAAAATAACGACCTCAGCTATTTCCCAGGAAACACCAACATTTTACTGAGTCATCACCTGCAGATTTTATATATTTATATATTTATATTTTTACATAAGAAAGATCAAACAGGTCACATAAACAGGTGAATCTCCTCTCCCCTCAGCCTGACACCCTCCCACCAAAGCTTCCCTGCACTCCCTGTGGGTGCAGATGTATGCACTGCGTCCTCCTCGAGGCCCAAGCAAGAATGGGGCAAATGTAAGGAATTTGGACGAAGGGAAACAGCCATCAATCAGCAAAATGCCCTGTCCCACGCTGACTGCCCATCACTCAGAACTGGCAGCTGGCTCCAGCAAGAAGCAGATGGACAGGGATTTACCCGTTGCCCAGGTCCAAGCTGTGCTGTGAGGCTTTCCCTGCAGATCCTTTGCCAAAATGGCTAAAAAGAAGAATTTCCCTCTTGGAAGAGGGCTTGGGAAGCAGCAGGACGGAGGGCTCGCACTCGGCTCCTCCACCCACCGCACCCCAACATACCTTTCTCCCAGCTGTGCCCCTGCACCCACCCCACAACTGCACTGAGAGCCCGAGGGCACCACGGTCTGCTATCCTGCCCCATAGCCCTGCAGCCCCACACCCGATCGTCGGAGCCACAGCAGCTGCTCTGCTTGAGCTCATCTCCCCCAGCCTGAGATTTCAGGATGAATATTATCCCAGAAAATGCAAGAGAAACACGGAGCAGCTCATCCCTGCACCCGGGTTTCGGAGGAGCTTAAGCTGAACAAAAGCTGCATTTCCACTTGGTCACACCTTGTAAGCACTTGAGATTTAAAGCCCTCTATTTCTAGTTAAGCTCCACCAAGTTTCCAACTTATCTCCCCATTAGTACTTGAGAAGTACCGAGGGGAGGGAGGGCAAAAAGAAGCCGGGAAGGAGCGGCACCTGCACGGATCTGCTGAGACCGCCTTCTGGCGCCTGAACGCCAGCTCTGATGCTGACGGGCGGCCGCGGGGGAACGCTGGTGGTTTCCTTCCATCAGCAAAAGCACGTTCATAGCACAGAGCTGAAAACTGGGGCTGAGAGGGACGCGGACCGACCTCCGTCGGGGAACCTGGGAAGACGAGGGGTGACGCCTGGAGGGCACAGAGGAAGCCGCAATCAGGGCGTTCGCAGAAAGCTGGGGAGCTCCCGAGCTCCGCTGTGTGCGGGCTCCGAGCCGGGGGTCGCAACCGCAGCCATCAAAGCTGAGAAGAGAGGAACGCCCGGATATCTGCAGAGCAGGGATGCGCCATCCGCATAGGGATGGAGCCATCTCCAGAAATGCATCCTGTGCCATTTGGCCGAGCAGAGTCTGCTGTGGGCGCCGGCAGAAAAGCGATAGCGCGGGGCGCTGACGGCAGCTGAAACAACAGCTGTGTGGGGGGAGACCAGGCAGCACGAGGAGCTCCAACCCCGAGCCAAAAGCACCGGGGAGGATCGGTGCTCACAGCTCCCATTCGCAGAGCTGAAGGAGAATTCAGGGGATGTCGCAAACCCGCGTCGGTTCATCCATAACGCATGCGGAGAACTGAATTGTCTGATAAGAGC